GCTGACTCACTTTAAGAAGAGGAGCAGTGGTAGCAATGGCAGCAGCAGTTGCTGCTGCAATGGTTGTTGCAGAATCAGCTTCCCTGTGCATTGACCTGGGGTCCTGACCAACACCTTCCTTTCTTTCAGGGGAGGCATTTCCTAAGAGCTGCACCTTCACCTCCTTAAATACAGGAGCACTTCGTGTTCTGTAAAAACAAACAAGGTCCTGTAAATAACACTGTTTTCTTAAAATCCACTCTTTTCCCCCATTTAACACCAGAATCACCAGTTATATAAGCATTACTCCATGAAGCTTTTGATGCCCATGAAATAATATTATTCCCATAATTTGGTATGACACTAGAGGTTTCTCAGGGTTATACCCACAGGAGGGGGGTTGGAACCAGGTGATCTTTGAAGTCCCTTCCAACCCAAGCCATTCTATGATTCTTTGTTACAGTTTCAATATAAAAAGGCATTTCCATGCGGTATTTCCATGACCACAGCAAAGAATATGTTTAACAAGTTGCATTTTGCAAAGGACAGCATGCTAGTAGCAAAGCTCTACTATATCATACTTGATCTTGAAGACTTCCAGCCTACAGATGAACAGCATATATCCGCTTTATGGTCTTTAAAGACAGCCTACATGTTCATAGAATCATCACAGAATGGCTTGGGTTGGAAGGGACCTCAAAGATCACAAAGCTCCAACCCCCCACTGCATGCAGGGCCACCAACCTCCACATTTCATAGCAGCCCAGGCCCCCATCCAACCTGGCCTTGAACACCTCCAGGGATGGACGGGGCATCACAGCCTCTCTGGGCAGCTGTTCCAGCACCTCACCACTCTCACAGCAAAGAACTTCCCCCTGACATCCAACCTCAATCTTCCCTCCCTCAACTTAAAGCCATTTCCCCTTGTCCTGCAGTTATCTACCCTTTCAAAGAGCTGACTCCTCTTCTGTTTTAGCAGAAACTGAGGAAGTACCTACTATTAACATAAAAACAGAATGGTACAACAACACAGACTTACTTTTGCTTTAATGCTGCTCTCAATGCTTCTTTCTGGCCAGTAGGATACCGAGAAATTAAAACATCATCTGTGTGGAAGGACATAATCCATATTTTGTCAGGTTAACTAATACAAAGCACCCATTTTACAAGTAGACACAAAGAGTTATTGAATCAACAGGTAGATTTCATTTAACACAGTTTTACATAGTATTGAATGCTGGTATTAATAAAAGCAATTTTTGTATGCTCTGTAAATGACGACATCACCCTATCCTAATAAAATTTGAAAAAGATTGTCATGTAAATGGCAACTTGAGCTCAAACAATGTATGCAATGGAACCCTGCACATTTCAACTTGAGATAAATGTAATTGAAAAAACAGCTATCAAGTTGTGTGAAACTGGTCCAAGATGTGATGGGTTCACTGTTTCACTGCTGCTATTTAGGCAGGTAGAACACACGTGCTGCTAAGCCAGACAGCTGCTGCCTCCCCGAGTCATAGAAGAGGAAGTCAAAACATTGCTTCTTGCTTTAAGCAAAGGGAGCCATTTCTGCTTTTTTCCCCCATCCAGCCAAAAAACCTTCAGAGATGTATTTCCTTTTAAAAGCCACAAATCTGAGTGAAACTGACTGCACAGTCAGATGTTACAGGAAAAGGCATCCACAACGTATTTCCTAGACTGTTATAAGTCAAAAACTTTCTGCTCACAGAAAATAAGGACATGAAGCAGAATTACTCACAACAGGAAAACACACACAAACAAGGTCCTCAAAACAAATAAACAAACATATATAGAAAGTCTTTATGCAGAAATGAGAATTAGTTCAATTAGCAAAACGAATCTCCAAGTTTCTGGTGTGCTGGTGGAAGTCCCACTTCATCACAAGGGCTACACAATCCACAGGACAAAAAGACAGAAAGTAAAAGTTTGCAACATTTAAAAATATAAATTACAATTATCTTTATTATTCTTATTTTTAATCAAAGCCATTTTTTGAATACTTGCAGTCAGGAACTTCTACATTGAAGAAAAGTATCTGTGAAACAAAGCCTGCTTCTCCTCTATCAGTCTTATGGAAAAAGAGCTGTAGCAGTACATTGATTTGTCTTACTTTTAGGCCTCCTGCTGTCTTCTGGTGAATGACCTGCTTCTTTAGGATTACCTGCAGCTTCTTTAGGATAATCCTTCAAAAACAAGAAGAGTAGAAAAGCACACATCAAAGCCTGCAGTATCAATGGCCAGATTATCACAAGGAGACAGAACTGCTGAATACACTTACAGTTGTGTAAGTGACTCCACAGTGCAGTAACACAGTCACTGAACACACTGAACAGAATACATTAAGGCTTCCCACTATCACAGAGCCACAAGGACTTTGCACTCAATAATTTCCACGACATTCCAGGGATAGAAGCTAAAAACATAATTCTCATTACAGAATGAATGCCCTACAGGCAGGCCTCCATTCTATGGAAGACACAATGAACAAATCAAAGGAAAATAAACCTTCTAATCGCAAATATTAAGTAGTTTATGTAAATCAATGTCTATTTCAATACCTATGAGGTGAGTAAGAAAGAAAACCACGAACCTTTAGGTTTTACTAATGAATATTATGAAATGTGCAACAGCTTTTTCAGAGGGGGAATTGCACTAAAATTTAAAAACATACCTGGGTGTTAACTATGCAACAGGCAGCAATACAGTAAATAAATCCCCTCCAAACACTTCAGCATGAATATCACATTAGCAGCAACTGGGTACTTTTCATGCAGAAGTGGAGCTCAAGATCTGCTGTGCTTCTATAGAAGCTGCAACTTTCAGAGAAAAATGCTGATCTCTCAGCTCAGGGTTGTGGGAAGCAACAGTGACTTTCTTACCATCTGTGGTACAAAGATGGCCTCCACAGGATCTTCCACTAAAAGCAAATGTTCTGGGTGACCCTTAGTACTCCAGACTCCTAAAATAAAAGCAATTTTACTGTGGTTCAAATGATCTTCAATGTATTTTCATTGTCCCCTGATTAACTCAAATTTCAGTCTGTTCTCTGCTTGATATATATCCAAATATAACAACTTTCATAACACAAATGACAGGAAGGGGAACGGCTGCTTACAAGGGTAGATAGTGATAGGACAAGGAGGAATGGTTTTAAACTGAGACAGGGGAGGTTTAGGTTGGATGTCAGGAGGAAGTTTTTCAGCCAGAGGGTGGTGAGGCACTGGCACAGGTTGCCCAAGGAGGCTGTGGATGCCCCATCCCTGCAGGCATTCAAGGCCAGGCTGGATGTGGCTCTGGGCAGCCTGGGCTGCTGGTTGGCCACCTGCACACAGCAGGGGCTTGGAACTGGATGAGCACTGTGCTCCTTTGCAACCCAGGCCATTCTGTGATTCTATGACCACAGTCATCTACCTGAACCTTATAAAATGGAAATGGTTTATTGAATGCTACCAGAGATCATTTTCACACAGATGGTTGCAATTTTTCTGATTTGGAAACTGCATCTTCTCTGTCTGGTCATGGCAACAGGATCTGAGGGAACAGCGTGGAGCTGCATCAGGGGAGGATCAAGGGGGTTAGTGAAAGGCTGTGTTCCAGAGGGTGGTGGGCATGGGATAGGCTGCCCAGGGCAGTGGACACAGCCCTGAACTGCCAGAGCTCAGAGAGCCTTGCGACACTGCTCTCAGACACTGGGTTTGGGTGGTGCTGTGTGGAGCTGAGAGTTGCACTCAGTGATGGTTGCGGGCTCCTTTCAGCTCAGAACGTCCTGTGATTCTATGCTTTTTAAGCACTAAGAATCTACAGCGAGGACTGGGGGCTGCTAGAGGAGCTCTGCACCAATCAAAGGCTGCAGCTACAGAACTTTGAGAAAATAAACACAACCATTGGAAAAGCACTGTAAAAATGCTGATGTTGATAATATTAGAGCACAGGCAGGACTTCCAAAATTACAATGCTCTGTAACAGAAAACAGTAGATTATATAATCTTAAGTAGATTAAACCTAACCTGAATTTGTCCAACAAACGAAAAACAAATCAAATGTAACAAATGAATACCTGGTGCGGCGCTGCAGGGCGTGACATCGGCGACACTACAGCTCGAATCCCTGTTTGATGAGAATGACACGGCCGGAGGCACGCATGACGTTTCCCTTGGACCCAAAGCCACACCGCTCGTCTGGCCGGACGGAACCGCCTCGCGGAGCTTCGTTACACAAACGGCAACGCCATTCCCGCACCCGCCTCCTCCAGAGCCTTTCCCCCCGTGGGCACCGGCAGAACGAACGAGCACATCGCCGGCCGTCAGGCTGCTCAGCGAGCCCCAGCTGGTGCTGGAGCTGCTCTCCGCTGCCATGAAGGCTTCGTAGCGGAGAGGCGGTCGGCGGTGTTCTAAAGGCGAGCCCTACGGGCCGTGCGAGGCAGGGCCGGCTGCGACCGCCGCCATGGCAACGGCACCCGCTCCCCCTCAGGCGCGCCGTTCTGACGCACTTCCTGTCGCGCACCGCCCACAAGGTAAAGCTATCGGCGAGCCTGATTCGCTGCGGGGTTTTTTGTCGAATCGGCGGGCCGATAGCCGAGTCTCTCCTTCCCCCCGCGCGGCCCGGACTCGTGGTGGTGCGGTGAGTGCGCGCGCGGGCGGCGGGAAGGCGCGGAGCGGGAGCTGCGAGGAGTCGCGTTCCTCAGCGGCGGGGAAGGGCCGCGTCCTCGGGCCGCGCGGGCAAGGGGTGCGAGGTGCCCTTGAAAGGGAGAGCTGAGGGATGTGGGAGAAGAGCGGGGAGCTTTACCTCAGCGCGGGCGCGGAGCGCTCGGAACCGCAGGCATCGGGCAGGCCTGGCGCGACTGAAAAGGCAGGCCGCGCGTGGAGGAGCGCTTCTTGTCTGTTGGATGGCATTCCCGTGCGGGCGGTTCGGGAGGCCCCGTGAGGGCGCCTCGCTGCCTCCTGCGTTGCACAACGCCGCCGCTAGGGGGCAGAGCTGCGCCGCCACAGACAGCGAAGGAACGAGTTCCGCGAGAGGGCTGGGCGGGAAGAGGGAAACAGAGCTTGTTTTGTTTCCATGGAAAAGGATGCTGTTGAGTCAGGATTAGGGAATCGTTGCTGCCCTGTCACTGCGAGGAGACCTCGTTGAGGCCTTGCGGTACTTACGGAGAGCTTTAAGCAGGAGGGAAACCAACCTTTTACGTGTGATAATAACAGAAGGAGGGGGAGTGGTTTTAAACCAAAAGAGGGGAGATTCAGATTAGGTGTCAGGGGGAAACTCATCATTCGGAGGCCCTGGCACTGCTGCATGGAACTGCGGGTGCCCCATCCTTGCAGGTGCCCAAGGCCATGGATGGGCTCCGTGCAGCCTGAGCTGGTGCCCCATGTAGTGGCTGGTAACCCTGCCTGTCCCATTAATCCTGCTCTGGTCACATTATCTTTGAGATCCCTTCTGATCCAAACCACTGTATGGTTCTTGAGCCCCCTGCTTTTGCTCAGTTTTCTTTTCAAAAGAACACCTCTCTGGTATGTAACAACTCACCTGGAGGAGCACTGGGGCTCTTTGAGATGGGACCTCCCAGCTACTGCTGTTTTCCTCATGATCCACATGATTTCAAGTGTGGCTTTGCAGTCACCAATGGTCCTTGACCACGCACCAAGATATGCACTAAAGCCATATAATTTCACTGCCCGCGCTGCACAAAGTAGCTGCAGAGGGACTGGTGCTTCAGACATGTAAAATAAGATGGTGCCATTAGGTTGTTTTAAGTCAGAGCTGCTTCCCAAGTGCAAGTGTACAGGCGTTGTGGAGCTGCAGCTCAGTTGGGCATAATCTTAAGCTTGCCAAACAAGTGACAGAAGAGGAAAACTTCAGGTTTGTTGTAAGCAAACACAGTGAAGCAATACTGAGTGTGAGAAAGGCACTGGGAGGGTCTGGAGCTGTTAACTTTTGGTGCATGGGAGAGGACAAAAGTCTTTTCTGTACCTTGTGGGCTCGGGCTGTCTGTTTAATCATCAACATAAAGTGGATTGGCAGCATTCTCACTGTTGTTTTTTTCTCTTGTAACAGATAGAGAAATGGGAGAGTAGAACTGCCCTCATTTCAGCAGTTCTCCCAGATGACATTTGTGCCCACTTCTCTTAAAACAAGTGAGAGGTTACAATAGCCTCAGCAATGCTTTGCTTCTCAGTAACCATATCTCGTAGGTTCTCTTAGAACAGAGTAATCCATTGCCTCGTGAGGCGTTCTTGGTCACGGGGATGGAGATCTTAAACCCAAGAACCACAGGTGCTCCTTATCTTCAGTCCCTCAATTCTATTGCTACACACGTAGCAATGAAGTGTAACTTTAAGAGGCAGATATTACCCTTGTTCCACTGCTGGGAGGAGGAGGGTGGCTGCATGCTTGCAGGAGCTCCACAGTGCTATTTTAATTGCTTCTTTCTCTTGTAGAAATAACTCACTTTGTTCTTGTTCACAGTAATTAGCAGTTGCACTCACTAGAGGGCTGAAGGAGCTTTCTTCACAAAGTCATTATAGTTTGGCACTGATTTTTCTTCCACTCGTTACTGTGAATAAAACTGAAGGATCATCTTCTCTTCAGGGTGTAACATTAACTGACATTACCATGGGTGATAGGCCTTGGGTAATATGTTAAGCATGGGAAAGGAGGACATGCTTTCACTGTTCTTGAAGGCTGCCTAGAGGTGTACTTTCAAGCTTTAACTTGTTTATGGTGTTAGATGAGGAATGTGAGCCACCCTTAAGGATGCTTGCTTAAATTCTTGGATCCCTGGCTGCTCGTTCTTCCCTTTTCATTTGCCTGTTTTTCTTTCTTTGAGGCTGCCCTCAATTTGTTACGATTTCTTGAATTTTACATGTTACATTCAGTGACCAGAACGCTGCCTCTAGTTGAAGTGTTTGGTGAGAATGCAGCTGCACTGAATCCATTCATCCATTCTGATCCATGCTGGTTCATTCAGAGTTGGCACTGGTTTATATTTGTTTGCCTTACGGTTCTTCCTGCAAATGACAGCTCAAGTCACTGAATTAGAAGGCTAGATAACATTACTGCTTGCTTCTCCTCCACTCCAGTTTTACTTTATGTATTTGAAAGCCTTTATAAACATTCCACACCTTTCTCCACCCTCCCATGTAGTCATTTCAGCTGTTCCAAATGCTTATAAAGTGTTTAAAGGACAGCAGTTAGCAGGTAGATCTGGAATGAACTCAACATCTCAAACTATCTTGGATATTCTTTTAGCTGAATACAAGTCAGAAAACTTTATGTGGGTGGCTTGAAAGTTTGCTGACACCATTGCATTTAAGTACACTTAGGGAACACGTACAGCTTGGCTCTCTTCAAAAATGTTGTGGTGTGTGTATGGTTTCTTGTGTAGAACTCAACTTTTGTCTTCAGAACAGGTGACAGAATCACAGAGAGCAGAATATGGCTGGACAAATATCAGAAACTGATCAGATCAAGCAGGTGAGTGCTGTGTTCTTGAGTGGTGCATCTGTCACATAGAGCAAAAGGTACATGGGCAGGAGGAAAACCTCTCTATGTTGTCCTCTGGGACGAGATTAATTCTCTATCAAGCAGCACTCACACCTGTCCCATACAGCACTGAGCCTTTTTAAGCACTAACAGCATTTGGTGCTGAATCTGCTGCTGGAAGTAAGTTTTTTCTGATGAGTTGTCCTTTGAATGTCACCATCACCCAGCAGCTCATGGAGCTGTGCATAAGGAAAAAAATGAATGGAGACAGAGATATTTTTTAATGGTGTTTTCAATTTTTAATGCAGTTCAAGGAGTTCCTGGGAACATATAATAAAATCACAGAAAATTGCTTCATGGATTGTATAAGGGATTTCACCACCAGAGAAGTTAAGCCAGAAGAGGTATGTAAATGTTTCCTATGCTTTTAATTACCTTTAGGCAGAATTTCTGTTTAATACTCAAATTTCAGCAGCGATTTGGACAGTTTGGATCTTTCAGTTAGCTGAAAAGCTCATCAGCTGTCTTTGGAGGAGTGGAAGTGTTCTGGCATGCAGTGAGCAGGGAGGTGTGCTGGTGGAAATCTATTGCCCCCACAGCTCTGGCTGCTCAGTCCAGTTGCCTGCAGTGCAGGGAGCTCCATCACATACCCATCTGCCAAAAGAAAAGGCTCTGGCTCACATGAGTTGCATGTTGTCCTTGGCCTTTCGTCACTTGCTGGGAGGCTTCAGACTGGTGTAATTAATATAATTGGGTAAAAGTCTAATAGCTTTGCTTAACTCCAGCTTTCCAGCTACCAGGAAAAAAAAAACACCCAAAAACCACCTAAACCACACACAAACATTTAAACCTGCATTGTGTTTGAGCATTTGCTGCCTCCTTAGAGTTTAACAGCTGTCCCTCAGTGCAGGCAGAAATCATCTCTCCGTTCAGCTTTTGTTTTGCTGCGCTAAACCAAGCTCTCCTGGCTTCCCAAGACAGATCCTTTGTTCCCATGATAATTCTCTGCATTTGCTTTGTTGGCAACGTTCTCGATTGCAGGTGTCAGAATTACTCTGGATAAGGTTTTGCCATTGTCTTTCACCAGCTCATTTTAGCTGCTCGAGCTACGCAGGATGCTTTTCTTGCAAAGCATCTGGCTGTGGCCCTCGTGGATATGGAATACTGGTCTGAGTGGATGACTGGTCTGCTCTGATCCTAATTTCCTATTTAAAGTCGTACTTCCTTAAGAATGAAGATAAATGCCTTTGTGGATCTTGGAGATTCTGCATTTGTAAAAGCAGCTGCTGCCCTCATTCCATACTGCACTCTTCACTACAAGTCTAGGCTTCCCCAGGCAGGGCATCACAGACACCACACCCTCTGGGAGATGTGGCTTGGGGTGCTTCTAGAATCCAACAGCATTTGTTTCCTAGTCAGACTTAACTCCTGCTGAACAGGTTTTACTGTAACTGATGCCAGGTCAGGGAGAGAGAAAGTAGAATGGAGAGGATGTACAGTTGCAGGTTATCTTTTTTTCTTCCATCATCTCTGCTTTCCACATCCCTTTACACTGAGCAGCATTAAAGCAATTTCTGGTTTTCTGGTACTCATGCAAGGTGCTCATCTTTTGTATTTAAGTGTGATGACTTCTACAGTGATTGTAAGGTTTGGAACTGAATATCTGACTGGTAGAACTGTAACTCAGAAATAGATCCCATGGCTTTTTCTCTACAATTATTGAAAGAAAAAATAAAATGCCCTCACTTGAAAACATGACAGCAGCTGTGGAACAGGCCCTGGTGTTTGTCCCCTATCCAGCAAGCTGTCTGGTAGCACTTCAGGGGCTGTCCTGTGAAGGTGAACCAGGCTGCTAGAGCTAATAGGAACAAGGTCAAAAAAAGAGCTTAACCTGAGCTACCACACAGGTAGAGCAGATCTGGCTGTCAAAAATTAGTGTTTGCAAACCAGGATTCAGAAAGAGAGGAGGGAAACAACACAAAAACAACCTTTCTCAGGTTTAGTACTTACTGCAAAATAAAATCCTTTGTGTACTTCCACTTCACAAGAGCAGTCCAAGGATGAAGTGTTAACATCTCCTGGCTCCAAGATGTTTTTCATGAAGGCCTTTTTATGAGAATGAAATTAAAAGACATTTCAAGCATTCCTCAAAAAACTAAGCTTCCCATTTTCTACTGCACAGAGAGACTGAACAGTTAGGTCTGAACACAGAGCATGAGATGTAGTCAGTTCATATTATATACCTGACTATTTCACTTGGGATTCTGCTGAGGAGGGCGTCTTCATCACTCTCTGAAGCTGTTTTCCTCTTCCTCCAGATAACTTGCTCAGAACACTGCCTACAGAAGTATTTGAAAATGACACAGAGGATCTCCATGAGATTTCAGGAGTATCACATTCAGCAGAACGAAGCTCTGGCAGCGAAAGCAGGACTGCTCAGCCAACCTCGTTAGACAAGAGCGCTCTGTTCAGACTTCACGAGCAGTGCCAGTGTTCACTGGGCAAGAACACGTTTTGGATTTCCTACTGTCAGGGTGCATGTCCAGCAACTCCAGAGATTGCTGTAGGTGTGTTTGGAAACTGGAAGCCGTGGAGGGTAACGCAAAGAGTTAGAGAGTGCTGTCTGACAGCAGAGTCTCTTGCTGAGGTCTTTTCCATTCTACAGTGGAATAAAGCAATTTTTTCTTCAGGGCCCACAGACTACTATGTTTAAATTTCAAGAGGATGGGAAAGTTATACTTTTTCTTCTGTCAGGACTGATTCAGAGGCAAAAGAAGTGTAATATGGAAATACATTTTTTTTAATTTAATTCAAGTAAAGTAAATGGAACCATACAGTTGTATGTATGTTTTTTCCAAAGATCATTTGGGACGCTGTTTGAGAGCCATGTTTTGGTTGCAGTTTCATTCCTCATCATCCTCCTATGGACTCTTGTTCATTCTTTGCTGCTTGGTAGATAACTAATTAATGGATTGGTTTTAGCAGGTAGGGATTTGCAAACGTTTTACATATCTCAACTTGGGAAGAACTTTTGTTTCGTTGCCAGCTGCTCTCTTAGAGCCTTAAGATCATTCTGAGTGTCCTGGAGTGCTGACTGCAGCCTGTTAGAGCATCAAGCTAAGAGCTACTGTAAGCAGCAGTCATTGGCTGTAACTAATGAGTTCAGGTAAGCAGGGTTGCCTGCCAGCTTATCCCTAGGTTATGCTGGCTTTATGCTTCACCAGGTCATTCACAAGTGACAATAACGTGTCATAGCAGCACCTTTGCCAGAGGCAATGACTCTACGCTCCTTGTTTCCCTCTGGGGGACCCAGTGGTCCTCCAAAACTGGCTTTGCTGCTGGCTGTAAGCACGATGTGCTCCAAGCACTGAGCTTGCTGGCAGGCTCCTCCTTTCTGTTGGCATTCACACAGTTCAGTGTGAATACATGCGTACAAGGCGATGCCTTTTTATTTGCTGCTGACTGAGTGCAGAGCAAAGTCTGAGAAAACCGTTCTGATTATGTGCTGTTGGCTCAGGAATAAACACTGCTTCTTTTGAAAGGATCTTGATAGCTGAGATCCCACAGTCAGATTGCTAGTACAGCAGAATGACAACTTGCTGCTATTTCATTACCCAATAGCTGTGTTCTGAAATACAGAATAGAGAAAAACACTGTGCACTTTCATCAGTAACCACTGTGATGCCCTGATAGCTAACAGGCACGTTTGACTTCAGTTCTTCCTAATAAAATACACTAACAAATGGAACTGGATGTCAGGATTACCATACAGATTTTGAAATATCAAGCAGCGAAGGCTGAAGCAGAACCTGGCAGCTGACATGAAATAGCAGTTGTTAGATAGAAAAGCAGCAATAAGGAACAGAAATGGCAGGGGGCCAGCCCACATGCTTTTTTGTTGTTGGCTTCCTTATAGCTTTTGACTTCCATTAGTGACAAAAGAAAAAAAATAAAATCCTGTTCTTTGTTTTTCTTGTTTGCTCTCCTTTCCTACTGTTCAGCTATCCAGGGTGTGGAGCACAAGGCACTGACTGCAGCCAGTACTCCTGCCACTTCCACCTGGCACCGCTCTGCTCGCTGCTCTTTAAAGCTGCCCCAGCTCCCCACACAGATCCGTTTCTATGCATTTCAAAGGTGGAAGAAATAAATACGTTCTAATTTCTTGTTGACGTGTTTTGTAGTATCCACATCACTGCTTTTTCCTACATCCCCCCATGCCTCGTTCCCTTGGAGATGGTTAAGAGCTAATTCTAAAATAGCAAAGGCTAAAAAAGAGCCCAAATGAGGCAGCAAGTCTGCAATGGCCTGGTTGGTGTTTCATTTTTTTTCCAAAGGAATAACACACTTGTAACATCCAGATTGTTTTCTACAGTTGAAGCACAAATGTTCTTGGCCGTCAGAAGTAACGTATCCATATCAGATATTAAAGGCTTTACTTAGAAGCCTTTTTGTTAATGTTTGAAGACAACGTATCACTGAAATGCTCCTATTTTTCTATTGCATCTCAAGTGTGCAAAGAGAACAGTCAGAAGAGCGACTGTAAGAGTTTAGGTGATGGGAGTGCAGGACATTCGTGTCCTTTGGGCCAAACTCCTTGAGGGTGGAGAGGATTAAAAAACTTTTTTTTTCCTCACATTTTGAGGCTTGGGGGAGTAAGGAGATGTGTAAATATTTGTTAAAATGAGTTTATTGTACTGAAGGTTAGGCAAGTATTAGAGAGACTTAGTTAATAAATTACTTTCAGGTTCCCCAATTTCCTTGGACTGCAGCTTTAAAGCCACCTCAACCAACTGTTATCCAGGGGGAAAAAAAGGTTGCCATCTTCTCCTATATTTCAATGCAGTATCTGTGCAGCCTGCCTGGAGCTGGGTTGGTGGGGCTGGGTGTGTGAATGGCCACGTCTTAGAAGCAATGCTCACTGAAGCAGAGACAAGGACAGAGATCCTTCCTCTTTAGGTAGGTGTCTGAACCAGAAGGTTACACTGCAGCTACTGGTCGGCACGTATCAAACAGGAAAGGTCAAACCAAAGCCTTGCTCTCAGGGATAAGAGCAAGGTCCAAATTTCTGTAAGTCCCGCTGAGTGCTTGGGCTTGTAACTGGGGGCAAAGGGCAAAGAAAAGGCTGAATGCCAGGAAATGGAGCATGGCTGTGACTTCAGTGCAAGGAGACACACTGCACTCTAATACCTGAGCTCAGAAAGCTGGAACCGACTGCAGGTGGAAAGCAAGAGGAGTGCTGTGGGAAGCACCCTAACTGTACATAGGAAGGCTGCGTGCCTCCTTGCTGACGTTAGTTTATACAGTGTGAAGGGGAGAGTAGACAGATTTCAAATCATCAAAGCAGAAATCCAGTTCTGTATCTGACAGATCCTGCCCTTACTGGAGTGTAGAGCGAGGGAGCCTCGCCCCTCTTTCTGCCCAAGTTTGTGTTGCATCTGTATGTGTGCCAGGGCTCCAGCAACACACCTGGAGCCACTGCTGCCTCATTTCAAGCCTCCTCAGCCCCAAGGTGCACTCCAAACCACCTTATCAGTGAGGAGTGGGGTGTTGGCTACCCGTCCTGCCACGCTTTCACAGCAAGGCCCGCTTATCTCTGCAGAGAACAGAGCCTCTGAGCCCTGCAGGGCCTCCCTAGGGTGCTGTAGGCAACACATGAGGAAAATTATAGTAATAAACAAAATACTTACAGCTTTTTCTTGTCTTCAGGAGACGTGGGGTGGTGCCAGTTACACTTCAGGGCGGAGCAGGCAGCAGGAGGAGCTGGGATGAAGCACAGCCACCTGGTGATAAAGTGAAAAGGGAAAGGGTTAAAGAGTGAGCAGTGTGATGAACAATGGCTGTAAGACTGTGCACACGTGAACAAGTGGCTTGTTAAAAAGGATAAGTCACCCTTGCACAACGCAAGCAATGTATTTCATATAAATGCCTTCTCTTGCTCCTCCTTACATAATCAGCAGAGCTGGCAGGATGGTGGCAAATTGGGTCAAGCTGTACCCAGATGAGGGATTAGCAACGAAGTGGTTTAGAAATAGCTGAAGAAACTGATGGGGCTGCATGGAAATACTGCTGGGTGACTGAAAACCTGGGAAATAGAGAGATAGAGCCAACACCATGTAATAACTGTCCAGAGCATGGCTCAATACAAGCAAATGCACTGCAGCTAAATGTCCTGCAGGCTTGCACAGCTGCAATGGGCCTCTAGTGCTGATTCTCTATGCTGGCAAACTATGTTTTGCAGAGGAAGTAAGGAAGGTTCACAACGCTCCTGTGTTGTCATAGTGAGCTGTAATGCTAAATGAAAGCCAAATGCCATAAAACTGAGACAGACATATTTTCACCTTTGAAAGCTGTCAGTACAAGCCAACAGACAATACAAACCACGGGGAGCTGCAGACCTACAGCAGCACCAGCCAGCACAGCCCTGCTCCGAAACGTGGGGAAACAGCAGGAGTAACTGCACACATCTGCTGAGAGTGCAGAACGGGGAAGGTAATGAAGCCAGAAAGGGTGAGCCTTGGTTAACTGCTGCATGGCTGAGAGTGTCCTACCTTCTCTGTTTTCTTTAAATGGCAAAATTCATCATCAGGCTGTGACTACTCAGAAAATCCACCACCAAAGCGCATTACAGTAGGTACATTTTGAGACCAGTTGCATTTGAAAAAGAAAAACTGAGTTTATATATTCCTCCAGAGCAATGGATGAGAACAGTAAATCCTTGTGGAACTCATGGATTCCCCCCTTCTCCTCCAGAAACACCAACCCAAACCCAAACCAAGCAAGCACTAATAAATAATGGTCATCAGGTAGTCACTAATGAAGGTGAACGATTTTAAACTCTCCGGGGACGTGTTCACAAACCATCCTACCTGGAGGAAGAGAACATGGCAGAATGACAGAATTGCTCAAAATCTGAGGGTGATAGCTTGCTAAGTGTGAGCTAATTATAAAAAGCCTTTTTTTCTAAGCCCTGATGTTACAGTCAGGCTCTGGCAGCACCCCATGGGTTCTGCTGCTCTGCCATGTTCCTTCCATCTCCAGAGGTAGCCTTTATCCTGCAAACTGCAGCAAACAATAAAATCCAAGTACAGAGACCTAAAAATAACTGAGGTTTCAGTGCACAGTATCTGCAAAATGCAAAGGGCACTGCGAAATAAACAGCTCAACATACCTCTGTTAACAGTCCTCTTTTTGTTGCAGCTTGTAAATCACTCTTCCAGCTCACCTGTCAGCTTTGTTTCAAGTGATCAAACCAAACACGCTCTTAAGAAGAGCAGAACCACTTTTCTGAGACTTTCTGCTGTAAAAGAATTCCAGTAAATGCTGCTCAGAAACCCATTTGACCACCTCAGACAAGCAGAGAACATTTTTTTAACGGGGAAAAGAACATTTTATTGGAAGGATTTGACACCGACTTGTCAGGGTGAAATTCCATCTGGCTGACAAAGCCATTTGCAGAAAGCAGGTGCCCTCAGCACTGAGCAGAGATGTGAGCTCAGAATCCACGGATCCTTCTTCCCTCCCCACCAAACCCATCGTGTGCAATTCTAGTAGCCATTCCCACAGATGAACCTGCTTCAAAAATTGCTGCCTGGATTCATCTGTCACTGTGTATCAAAATTAATTTACAATCTGAGAGCAGCTTGCACAGAATACCACACAGTGAAGAACTGATTGCACTTTTTCCTCTCTACCATCTCATAGCTTTAAGGTCTGTGCTGCTCCCTGTGAAAGTCAAACACAGTGCTTCAGGAAGATGCAACTTACCTGCTCTTGTTGTGCTTTTAATTATTACTGTAATCCTATTTAAATTCTGTTGAAATAATGCTTTATTATTGTCCCAACATCTCTGAAAGACAGAAGCACTGATTAAGAGGTTTCTCAGATGCGAGGAGGAATCAGAAATGAGCAGATTAAACCATGTGTTGCTTAATTTACACCTTAGAAAAAACAAAAAGTCATCAGTACACACAGAGCTGATACACACGTTCACGAAAAGCAACTCTAAGTTAAAAGAAGTAAGGATACAAACATTTTCTTACTGTCTGTCCTTGCATGCAAGTTTTATGTTGCTTTCTAGTGTTCAGATTAGCTGCTAATACACAACCTGAAGTAATCTGCCAGCTTTCTTATCAACAGTAGGTGGCAGGGGAGGGTCTGAATTTTCCTAGAGCCCAGCTCTTTCTAACAGTTCTAAGAGTATTTGATTCCATCATCCTCTGCAATTTATTTCACCTGCCAACTAAGCTGGAAGTCGTGCTTCTCATCTTGACACAACCTGGAGATCAGGAGGCAGGAGAACAGGGAGGTCTGCCAAGAGGGTGCTTTGGTTTTCATTGCTCCTGCAAACGTCTCTTAAAACAAAAATAAAAAAAATCCCAATTCAATACATTCATAATTGAAGGCACTGAAAAGGCACTCTGGAGTTTGCTTTATGGCAACAACACAGAAATGAGGGGATTGTGAAGTTAGAAATAAAAGACCTTGGAGAGATTTTTGTCGATTTCAATTTTAGAGCAGCGCAGTTCCACATTATATAATGCTCTTTTCACTACAGTTTCTACAGGCATTTAAAAATATTCCTTGAAACATCCACTGAATAATCTCAGCTACCTGCTGTCCTTCTTGCCAGAGACAGAAGCAGGAAGGCAGTGACGTGCTCCAGGCTTGGCAGAAAGTCATCCACCTCTCCTGGCTGTGCAGCTCTCTGCTGGGACAGTCACAGAATTCAGGGCTCTGAGGAGCTCTGGGCTGATGTGAGCAGGTAAACATTCCTAAGAGATAAGGAGAAGCTGTAAGTGAACCTCTGTGCTGAAATACAGACAGTTGAGAGCCCATCCATGGCCTTACACATGCTGAGTGTGTGCACGTCTGCTGGAGACATCAAGCAATCTGTAGGCAGAAGTTAGAGACCTGTGTCAAGTAAGAACTGATCGTATTGGAATAGAAAAATTTCTGCTAATAGCAGTCGTGGGAGGTGAGCTGAGGAACTGTGACTCACGTGATTTCCTTTGAAATCAGTATTGCTTTTTATTCACAGCTACGTAAGAGTAACAGTAAGTCAGCTCAGGAAAAAGGTCTTCACAACCATTCAGGCAGATTGATCGTCCTGTTTAGGTCAGCCCAGGCATTTACAAGAACAATCATTTCAATAAAAATAGAATGTAAAGCCTATGTTTAAAACACGGCCTTTATTAATGCTGTCTACTGAGCTCCATAATTATCTTACATTGAAATAGTTCTGCTTTGCTTAAGAAAAGACAGAAAAAGTGCATTTACAAGAGTACTTTTTCTTTAATTTTCTGCAAAAATGGAAGGAATTGGAATCACAAGTTGACAAATGTTGTAAAATGAGATTTCAAGAAACATTGATTTTAGTAATGCTACTCCATCACTAGTGTTTCGTTCTGACTTCCTGCTGTGTGATCCAGAATATCCCGATATACAGTCTAGAGCATCTATGTTATTAGTCTACAGCATATTAAACACAGAAAAAGGGGCCAAGAACCCCTTCCAATGTACAAACATGAATAAAAAAATTGATAAAAAATTGCTTTTATACATAATGTATATGCAAACTGCTTTAAATACATGGTTTTGGAAGAGTTATTTACAAACTGTATCTGTCTGTGGGACAATCCACAGACAAAAGCATACAAAGTTGCTTTACCTTATGGTTGCATCTCAACTTTGGGAGATAGAAATTCATTCGGCAGCATAGCAAACATAAGAACTCGCGACAAAGTATCTTAAGGGCAACCCAACAGATTCTGTTCCTCCAAACAAGGTGAGTAGGACTGCCAAAGTTTTCCAACCAAAGTCAGAGTCGAATCCAGATGCCCGCTTCCAGATCTGCGTGGTGGAGGACACAGAGCCGGACCCATTTCAATGCAGGCACGGGTAAATCCTCCTGTGAGAGCCAGAACTGACAGCTGTGTTTTATCGAAAGAGTGAACTAACCTTAGTTTGGTTGCTTGCTTTTTTTTTTTTTTTCTTTTTTTTTTTTCCAATTTTATTAATATTTTAAAAAATACATAAAAATACAACATCCAATGTCTGAATAAATATATTTAACAAGTTGCAAGATACCTTATTTTACACAAAAATTTCAGCTTTAGAAATCTTGTTAAATAACTTCATTGTTGTTATATATTCATTTTTCGTCTTTTTGTAACAAAATAAAAACTCTGAAATTACATAGAAAAAAGACAAAATATTTTTGTCAAGGGATAAGATAGTCCACTGAAAACCTATTCACAATTCCACTGTAAACATTAATAAACATTAAAATATTTGCATAATTGTGTGCTCAAAAATCCTATAAAAAGTGGAAGACTTATTACAACTGTAGTTTTCAGTCAACTACACTTCCTTTCACAATTTATTTTGTCCCATTTACACCTTTAAAACTGGGCACATTGCTGAACACGTACTTTGGCAGTTCTGTATAGCAAGTGCTTCCACAAAGAGGAACTACTCACCGAGTTACCACGGCTCGGTGAAAGTGCAGCAGTTACTCAGTTCATTTGGATAATACTCTGATGTCTCTACCTGGTGCACTTGCTTCTCTAAGGTTACCCGAGAACACCTGAATGCTTCATTGGACATAACTTTTCAAATTTGATAAGTGCCCTTGCTCTGCATTAACAAAAACAAAACAGAAACAAACACGATGACAAGCATGTCACGTTGTGCCTACCGACCTTCAATGAGCTTAATTTCTCCAAACGGTAACTTAAAAACAGAACAAAACAACAACAACAAAAGAGAGGGAAGGAGGGGAGAACAGATACAGTCCAGCAGTGGAAGTGTGTACAGGATATACTTGGCAATGTCAAACCAGTCGAGTGCTTTCTGTGGCTGAATGTCAGGATTGAAGTCCATGGCAGCAAGCTGCTGGCAAGGCAGAGCAACGTGTATCACCTGCATTCTACAGCAAGCACGTTTTGTGGAGGGGAGGACGACGATGGACTCATTCCAGTGTCTGATGAAGCAGATGACATGGATGCCCCTGCATGAGACACTGAAGACAGAGAACATGTCAGCATCGGATGACGAAAGCACATGTGAGAATGAAGGTGCCTATACTTAATACATATTAAAAAGACCTCGGAGATTTGGTGTATTGCAGGAACAGGTGTGAACTTTTGGCAACTCTTTCCGTTGTTATACTCACATAAACTCAATGAGTGACCTTATTCTTCCTGCATCACACACCAACTACAACAATCCATTAGATGGTTTACTATGCTGACTCAAAACACAGACTCACAGAATGGCCAGGGTTGGAAGGGACCTCAAGGATCACGAAGCTCCAATCCCCCCTAATGACTCAATAACTAAGTTTATTGAGGAGCTCTTCCATTTTAGATTTTAAATTATCCTACATAATCTTCCTTAAACCTGACATTATATGGTCACTGCTTTTAATTTCTCATCTCACAAAACATCTCAGGCAGAAAATCTGCCTGGAGGCTATAGGACATCACAGGATTTCACAGAATGGCCAGGGTTGGAAAGGATCTCAAAGATCATGAAGCTCCAGCCCCCCACCGCATGCAAGGCCACCAACCTCCACATTTCACAGCAGCCCAGGCTGCCCAGGGCCCCATCCAACCTGGCCTTGAACACCTCCAGGGATGGACGGGGCATCACAGCCTCTCTGGGCAGCTGTTCCAGCACCTCACCACTCTCATAGCAAAGAATTTCCCCCTGACTTCCAACCTCAATCTTCCCTTCTTAAAACTCTCCTCATGATTTCCCTAGAAATTCCACATTTCTGAAGGACAATTATAATACAGTCAGTAAATGTTTTTGCTAGGTTCACATTCTGGAAAGTCAAAGATACACTTTCTAAACACGTACATATATGAAAGATAACAGATACCACTTTTTCTCCGCCAGAATGCCGTCCAATAATTGCTTCAGGTTCTGTATTCTCATGAAAAATGCTGAAAATCTCAGGGGAAGCATACACAGAATCACACAGGATAATAGGGGCAGGATGGGACCTGTGGAGATCATTTAAGTCCATAAAGCAAAACTGAACATTACCTTCTCTGTCTTTCTTTTTTAACCGCTTTCTTCTCCTGTCTATGGTGGCCACTTCTGACTTCAGAGACATGTAGTACTTTCGGATTTCCTGTAGCTTTTCTTGTAAGAAGGAGATCCTTTCAGTGCTGCTCATGTTGTCCAGTTCATCTTAAAAGTAGGAAGAAAAAGGAGGTGATAAAGAAACGAACGCAACTCTTCGAGTGTACAAGATGGAGCACTGAAGACAACACTTGCTTCTCTCACCTACACCAAAAAGGCACATGCCTAATTTAGAATAACAAAACTCACATAATTTTCTTTTTAGAAGGAATTTTCTTGCAAATTCCCCCAATCCAAGGCCCTTAAAGCAGGCAACACAAGTAAGAATCATGCTGCCCATGAGGAAAGGTTACACTGCAGATATTCCACTCTTCCTGCTACATGCACTCTTTAAACAAGACATCCTTCTTTACACAGTAACACATCAGGGAGAGGAGGGAGGTATCTAACACTCAATAAACTCTCCTTATCAATTTTAATTTTAAGCTATATTTATAATGAAAAACCAAGATAAGATACAGCAAAAAGTTGTTTAGCATCCTAGTTTCTAATCCCCACCTCTTCAATCACAGCCTTGATTTTAGCAGTCTCAATTCCTGAACTGCAATTTAATACTTTGACCACTCCACCACAGCCTCAGTTTTTGGTTACATTCACTTTGAGGAGCATAGGAGAGTTGGGATTCCAGTGGACAGAGGCTTCATAATTCCAAATGTACTGAAAGATGGCCAAAAATTATCTGGGATCAAGTGAACAGGGAAACATGGGAAGGGGTATCATAGAATCATAGAATGGCCTGGGTTGCAAAGGAGCACAGTGCTCATCCAGTTCCAACCCCCTGCTGTGTGCAGGTCGCCAACCAGCAGCCCAGGCTGCCCAGAGCCACATCCAGCCTGGCCTTGAATGCCTGCAGGGATGGGGCATCCACAGCCTCCTTGGGCAGCCTGTGCCAGTGCCTCACCACCCTCTGGGGGAAAAACTTCCTCCTAATATCCAACCTAAACATCCCCTGTCTCAGTGAAATGGGAAAAAAGGATAATTTTGAATTTTTAATTATTTTAAATGAAACAGTAGTGAACATAAATGTGAAACTTAAGGATTAACTCCAAAAGCTCTGCTGAAACGTTTCTAAAATACCGAAGGTGCAATGCCTCAAGAAAGTCTGTCTTTCACAATTTTGGTTGATATTGAAAAAAAACAACAACAACAAAAAAACCCAACAATCTTACTGAGCTGAAAACTCCACTTGTATACTCTAGGTGAAGAATTCTGGTGGTGGTGTTTCTCTCTGTGTTTGTCCTTTTCTCCATCTTTGATGTGAGGTGAAATCACTCTTGCAGGTGATCGAGAAATCTTCTGTGGTTTTGATGAGTTTAAGTGTTTTACAGGAGTACATTTACTGGAACTGTCCAGGACAGGGAGGTCTTCACTATCACTGCTTTGTCCTGCAGTAAGAGAAATGTATTTGAATTTCATGAAGATGATCAAGGTTTTAAAGCTGTAGCTGTAGTCAGAAAAATCATTAAGAAAGACCAGTTGCTTCTTGCTCAGAAAATTCCAAAATGCACACTGGAAAAAACAGGATCAGATTCACTAGGTGCCTTTGGCTCCTATTTTGGGATTCTAATTGAAAACAGACACTGAACAGTTTCATTTAAAAAACAAAAAACAAGCAGGTAACACACAATTGTGTAGATATTCTACACTGCTTGTGTATTTACTAAATTGCTTCAAAAACCTGAAACACTTCTAAAACATGACTAACAGCACAGAAGCTTTAACGAGAAACAGAAAATCGTAAGCTACACAATATGCAAATATTTTGGATTCCCACAATAATTACAATATTCCACATAACCAGTTAAGTATGCCTGAATATTCTACGTCAGATAATTACTATTTTAGCTTGATATTTTAAAACTTTAACAGTGCTCTTGTAGTGCCTAAATACACTGACTCATTCAGTTCAGCCTCTTCAGTTTGGATCTAATCACCAAATATGAGCTATGGGAACACAAGTCCTATCTAACAGAAATAACGTGTCACAGTGAAACAGTGGGCCCTATGCATGTTTGTGTGACAGCATAACCTCCCCCTCATCTCCCTGAGGAATGTACCTGTTCCATTCTTTTCATTTTTGGCTGCAGCACTTGTTCGCTTTGGAGTACGCTTTTGTTTTTTTGCCAGCGTTCCACTATTGCTATCACTGGGCCTTTTTTGACCTACATGAGTTAGAGGAAAAAAAAAAAGAAAAAAAGCATCTCAAGTATTACTGCTATTAGCCAGCACTTTTTATAAGCAAGAAAGACATTAAAAGCTAGAAGGCAAAGCAAAGTAGTAAGCTTTAGCAACGTAATACCAGACTTGAAGTCCAGAAATCTCTACAAACAGAGACTGACACCTCCCAGGAAATGCTCACCCTTCTCTCCAACGTCTCTTTCTGGCACCACTATGCTACAATTGCTGGACGTAGTGCTGGCTTCAAATCCATTAGCAGACTCACTCTCACAGAGCCCTTCTTGAGATTCTTCTGCCACACTGTCCACTTCAATAGTCATGTCACTTTCGCTCTTGATGCTGCGGGACTCGTCTTGACTAAGTGTCAGAGGTGAGGCCACTGAGAAGCTCGACTGGACAGCAGCAGGTAAGGCAGCTGGATTTGAAGTATTGGGATCTGGCTTTTCCGATATCGTATCTTCACTACTGCTCTTCTCCTTTTCGTCCAAGTCATCCAAGTCCACTTCATGACACAGCAAAGTTTCGGGACCAATGTGAGGCATTGTGTCATCCTCATCTTTCAAGGGAACGTTATCATTCTCTTCAGACGGACGCTGAAAGTTCTCGCTCCTCAGCTCTTCCCCATGCTGCACAGACTCTGCCACGAGGGATGGCATTTCTTCATTTTCAGTTCTGAGTGACCCTTCAGCATTCAGCCCTCTACATTCCTCTGCCCCAGTACATTCATTGGTCCTCTCTTCAGATACAATATTTGGGACTTCCATCTCACTCTCTCGTCGAGTTCTTTTCTCAGGTGAAGCCTGCTCCAAAATCTTCCTTTTCAAAAGCTTCTTATCTTTTGTGGAAGGCTCTGTTTCAGTTTCAGTAGTGCTGGAAAACTCTTTGCAGTCCAAGGAAGACAAGTCTAATCTTTCATTTTCTGTAAGAGACTCATTAGCCACCTCTTCTTGACTTCCTGGAGAAACCTTTGCATTCTCTAAGCAGACATCTTTTGTCTTGCTCCTTCTCCCTTTTCCTTTAGGTGATTTTTCAGCTTCCCTCTTGACTTCTTCCGTTTGCTCTGTTTTATTCCCAAAAATCTGCACTATTTGTTCACTTTCTTCAACTTCCAGTTTCAGGATTTCTAATGGCTGCACTTGAGTCCTGTCATTTTCTCTCAGTGCGTGAGGAATCTTTGGGCTTTCCTCGTCTAGCTTCTCATCATTTTGTTTTTCATTCTTTTCCAGTTCTGAAGTTTCTGGAGAAAACTCCTCATTCATGTTCTTCTCAGATGATTCATCTGCCTCACTGTCAGACGAAGCAGAGTCTGCAAAAATTTTAAAACAAAGAAATGAAGAAATGGAAGGGAAAAGCACCCTAGGTCATTTAATACAGAACTATTACTTTTTCAACTACAAACTCTTTTCCAGTAATCTATGCAATTAAAATCAATTTACAACAAGCAATCCCAAAAAACAACAAAAAATCCACTTACTACAGTTCTTATTGCAACCCCAAGCCCCTACTCAACAATAGTAGTGATGGCAGTATTATTTCCTAAATTATCCAGTATAACTGTATCACAGTTTCTAGTAGCAAAAATAATTGTACAGATTCCCACGTGGACACTGCTGAATTATTGTATGAATCACACACCACATAAAACTTCAGCATTATGATGTTACCAGAAGATTATTCAGGGACCCACACTAAAAAGAGGTGGCGATTTCACTTCAGTTCTGATTTGCAGAGGCTTAGAAATACCAGAAATATCACTGTCATTTGTATATAATTAACTTCTTTACTGGATGATGTAGTACTGAGGCTGAGGACTTAATTTCCATTATAAACACTATTATTATTCCACCAGGTCTGCTCAGGATTAAGACTGAAAGGCTCTGGCTAAAGAACATGGGATGACTTGCACTGTCACATCCATGCCATGGCTCTCCTGTGAGCAAATTGTGTTCTCCAGCAGTTTCAATTCACCTGCTTCCTCAATAAAAATTCACAGGCAGGTTAAAAAAAAAAAAATAATAATTAAAAATAATAATTTTAAAATTTCTTTTCAAAAAAGGTACTAAAAAAAAAAAAAACCCTCAAAAACATACACAGGACTGAGATCACTCACCGTTTGATCCTCTATCAGAATCAAACATTCCTGAGCTACGTCTTGTCTGCCTGCGAGGTGTTGCTAAAATCAAAATTGAAAATATTAATTTTCACAGAGTCAAATCTGCACCAGAAATGTGTTTTTGTCATATTGCTTGTACACTGACTGGTTAAGCAGGATTTTAAAGCTTCTGAAAGCACTCTGTTCACTGAAGGTGTCGTGTCAATGCACTGCATTACGTCACTGTTTACATGCACTTCCATGCCAGAACAAGAGTGCACCAGATGTACCTTCTGTTCCATTTGGCAAAGGTGAGGAATCTGACAAGTTGTTCCGTGCACTTCTGGCTCCTGATTTACCTTCACTATTCGGTGTTTTGGATAAAGATGTGTTTGATGGAAGAGTAGATTTCAGAGGAGGTCGCCCACGCTTCGATTTTTGTTTCTCCTCATCTTTCTTCTCATCCTTTTCACTGTCTTCTTTATTCTGGGGGAGAAAATTAACATTTTATTATTAAGGTGTAAAATTCTTCTCCTTTTTCCCTGCACATTTATTAGAAAGCCAGAGCTTGGACTGAATCTTTTTTTTTTTTTTTAAATAAGGAACATAGATAGTCCTAAGTCTGGTGCTACAAGAAACTTATTGAAATCATCTGTATTACTTTTGTTTTTTTCTTCTGTTTTCTCTTTGGTCCTCCTTTGTCCACAGGCCAAATAATGCGATCAGCTTTCACCCATTCATCATACCTAAAAGCAAGTCACAACATATTAGATACAAGAAGGCTGTTTGCAACAGGATGTTTCGAAAATTACAGAAAACATTTACAAAGAGAGGCAGCAAAGCAGAGCACAGATCTACAGATGTATGGAGTATCTGGCATTAGGAAGATCAACTACATTGCTAATAAATTATTACATTAAGTTTCAAAAACAATCTAGTAATTTTTTCTGAATTTCCATTAAACTGTCTGAAGGATACCGACCTCACAAACAAACTTCACATTGCCACAAAAAGGAATTTGCTCAATTTACTCAGAAATTCACAGACTTGGAACACCTGAAGTTATACACTTGAAAGGCTTTATTAAAAATAATTATAATAATAAATTAATTCTGTTATATTTTTGCTTATGTAATCACCATTTTCCAACCAACAACAAAACCTAGCAATTTCTACAGCTGTACTGAATATAAAGCATGGCTGCCAAGAGAAGAATCCAATCTTTTTGTTTTCTCTAGTTCCTTGCTGCTGGGCTCTCTCCTAACCTCCCCACATGTAACAACCATTCTTGATAATCACAGGGAGCACTGAATCCAAGAATAGATTCTGCTGCCAAAATCTCAGTGCCTGCGTATCTTCTAATTGAAGGCATCTTCCCTATTACCAGTGCTTCTTTAAACTCAAGCCTGACGCTGGTGACACCAGCTGGCACAATAAATTACATGGATACTTCTGTGAGGAGAGAGGATTACACAGTGTAAGCAGGATGGAAACTTGGAAACATACAAGTGCATTCTGAGATTTTAATACTACAGCAACATGCCATGAACAAAATTACTACCACTGAAAAATGGAACAATCAGATAACACTACCATGCTGACAATTCCATTCCAGCCAACCCACTGATTATCTTTCTCTTTTTCTTCTTAAAAACAAAATCTTTTGGAAGTAACCATCATTTTAGAAATCAAGACATGCTATCTCCTCACCTTACATTCCAACCATAGTAATGCACTAAATATAAAACCTCTCCATCATCAGTCTCAGTGCTTTTAATGCTGGCTTCATAAATTTTCTGTGTCTTTCCACGTCCATATTTTACTTTCACTTTGGTTCCAGTCAGGCAAGGTTCTGTATCCTCTTCATCCTCTTCACCTTCTGATTCTCCTTTGTTCTCAATCTCCTCCCTGCAATAAAATGTATTTTAAATACCCACTAATTAGTGACAAAGTTTTAACATTTAATTAGCACAGCCAAGCTGCTACCAAAGAAAGAAAACTGCAACAAAAATGCTCATTCTCTGCATCACGCCCTGCCTCCAAAGCCAGCCTGAACACAACTCTGCAGGCTGAGGATTTTAAAGAAAATTCAGATAACTCAGAAAGAGGAATCAATCAACGCAGTGTTTGGCTTCTAAGATAGGAAAAACTAACTTCAGTTTTTAAAATATAATTGCTTTTGACACACTACTGTAAAAAATAGTCTCTTCCTCCTACGCTGCTTAATAGCCTGAAGTTTATTAACAGCATATGGAGTTTGAAGGACAGTGGTCCTGTTGCAGATATTAACACCATTCCAACAGAACAAATATTGACTACCACAGTTTTAACCAAGATCAGAAGTGTCTACACAGCTCTTCTGTCTATACCTACATATTGTTAGCAATATCCAACCTTGGAACACAATACCTAAACGTAGTTCCTACAATCATAACCTGTTGCTAGGGTGAACTTAGAGCGATGCTAAACCACAAGAATAGTCAGCAGTAGAGGAAATCCTGAAAGACTACAAGTTTACTTTGAATAAAATGTATTTACCAGGGACAGATGAACTATTCTGTTGTGGCAAACAGAATAAAAATGAAGATGATGAGCACCACCTGCATTACTCAAAATATCTTTGATGCCCTACTCACTTGACATGACTGCAACCTGCCACACACCCACACTGCACCCCCTTTTTGCATACTACGGTCTGCTAAAATATTTCTCTCTGGGCTGCACAGTGAAGCTTTCTTTAAAATAACTGTGTGTTGCTCCTGCTCCTCAAACCTCCTTAGAGGAAAACATGAAATAACCCCACCAGCCCTTATTCAGTATCAGCTGCGTCCCACACAATTCAGCCACACGGACAAGAAAAACAAGGCAGGCAGGCCAGCTTAAACAACTCAGATAATGCCCTCAACCACTCTGGCAACAATGTGAGACACCTGGTGATAGCTTGCTTCTGATCAAGCCCACTTACACTTGCCAAACTTCGTTTCTGGACAGTATTTTCCCTTGGACAATCATTTCTTTTCTCTACTACTCTTTCCTCATCCATCCACTGTTCAGTCAGTCTGTCTTTGCCATTCTACAACTCTCCATCCAATAGTTTTCAACTTATCTTCAGGTTTCATTCAAACTCCTCTTCTCCTTTGCTTTCCTAGCTGAACTTCTGCCTACCAATGATACATTTAAGTAACCATTGAAATAAGTGAACTGTGCGTTCACCAGTCATCACTAACAACAGAGAAGCTTTATGTTTTAACTGCTTATGTTTTATGCTTTAACTGCCCAGCTGCTCACCATCCATACAACAGCCTGTCTTACTTGTTGTCTACATAGGAGTGTGATTAAACAGATCTTGGCAGGACTTTCAAGAAGATGGAAGTGAAAAATATCGCCTGCCATCTACCAGAAAAAGGTAATTCCTTCAAATATAATCAACTCTGCAAGCCCAAAATAGCACCTTCCTTTTCCTTTCCAGCTGAGCAAATGAGGTTTCTGATTTTCACACTTTAGAAACTGGTCAGACCTCCAAATTCTGTGGATGCACTTGCTCAACAAGTGCCCTGACACAGATACACTGCTAAGAAGGTGACACAAATTAATGCTTACCTCTCCCTCTGCCTCTCCTCATCTTCATCTGACTCTTTATCAGAGTCCTCCTGTTTTTTAATCTTTTTCTCTTTTTGCTTTGGCGTACTTTTTCTTCCTAGTAGAGTTTCATTTTCTTTCTTTTCTGCATTCTCGAGGGCTTCCTCTATATCTTTGTTTTCCTTGTTGTTGTCTTTTAATTTGTCTTGTGTTTTATCATCTTCACTCTCTTTTTTAGCAGGGTTTGTGTCACGGGCAAGCCGTCTTCGTCCCTGCAACACAAATAAAACCTGGTTAAAATCTACTGTCACTTGTTCTCCTTATAGGCTCTCCAAATACACTACTCCTGTATGGAAGAAAGGCTGGAGATAACACCAGAAAGCAAAGCAGGATGCCTGCAAGGTCTGTTGTCCCTGACAACAACAGCAATGCTGTTTAAGTGCTCGTATTGGACTGAGACAAGGCACCTTCCTTTTAGTGTCTCCACTCCCAACAGCTACCTGTTGATTTCACAGAAGTCTGTCAGCTTTACAAATACTGAATGTTTAAGAGGTATTTTCAGCAGTGGGACACCTGCTGTTTGGGACTTTCTCAGACTGATTCTTGGGGCTCTAGTACAGGTTTATCATTTTACTACTGAAGTATCTTTGACAGGGACATTGCACAGTGACTTAAGTATGTTATGAAGAGATACTGTGCTAAGAATCAACTCTTTCTGTGGTAAGAAATGGGTCTTCCTTTGATTCTTAAGGCTTCAGCACTCCCTTGATATGCCTGTTTCTTGACACAAAGCCTCATGTTCCACGTGCAAGTGGAAGTTCTCACCCACAACCAGGACTATCCTGCTGGTTCACACTGTTCTGATGACATACAGCTCTCAAACCATCCCTGAATAGAAACACAACTGACAACCAACACAGCCTTAGCAAATCCTATGGAAGGTTTAGAAAGTGAAGAAATAATCATAATGTAATTAACAACTGAACACCAACTCTTCTTCACTGAATGCTGTCCTGTAAGAATGCTAATTCCAATGTACAGTTGCTGCACAAGGGAAAACTCATTATGTAAACTGTTTAATATACAAAGGGTTTAAGCAGAAATCAGTCTGAACTACTTACCCTTGGGGATCTTAGCTCTATTTCTTCTTTTTCGCTCTCGCTGCTGGAATAATTTTCTTCTGCTTCCTTTTTTGCTTCTGTTGGAGGCATTTTTTGCTCCTCTTTCACACTCTCCTCCATTGGTTCCTCGTGTTTCTGTACGTCTTCTACCACTTTTGGTTCATTGTGATGAATGGTCCTAAACTGAATGTTTGCAGAACGGCAGTACTCTTCAAAACCATAAAGATACCTGTATGAAACAAGCATGAGTTTGATTTACATTTCAGCTTTTCTTTTTGCTTATCTAAGTGCAAAAAAACCTATTTTCCTGCTCACAGGGAAGAACAGTAACTTCAGGAAAAAAAAACAAAACAAAAACGAAAACAGAAGAGCAGTTTTTGAAATAAAACAACTCTGAACAAGAAGTCAAGCAGTGAAAAAGACAACTCAGCACGTACACACAGCTGCTTCCCACCAATTTAACTTCATCTCTCTTCAAGTAAGAGCTCATGACAGTGAAGCCTAAGAACATATACACAGTTTTGCAAACATGGAGTGACAGCAAAGATCAGCCTAGTATTAGAATATGGGCATATAAGCAAGTTACCACAAGGAAACAAATCGTCATGCATCAGCTTGCTCTCTGTTAACTGCCTGTGGACACACTCTAATCCAGTTACAGGTGAGGGAAATGTGAAGAAGCAGATCCCTCAAAGAATAAATATGCAAATCACAACACACTGTCATGTGTCCGTACAACAATTATTTTCACATCAACAGCAACCTAGCAGATATTTACTTTTTTAATGATACATACTCTTCTCTGTAAAATACAGACCTTAAATATGTGCCCACTTCAAATGCCACTGAAGATAGTCTGAACATTTTCATCTTCATCAACATTAACATGAGTTGAGTCATTAGTCATTCATCCCTATTCAATCAGCCAAATTTCCTTAGGTTCGAGTCAAGAGAACCTCATTCTTCCCTTCTACTCAAAAAGCCCAATTGTTTCTTGTTCAAACTTTCAGGAGAATAAATAATAAAAATAATCTTTATTTAGAAAATGAGCCTGAAAAAAAATGTAAATCCTAAAAGGCTTCCATTTCAAAAGTAAGAAAACATGACTCAAAAGCAGGTGTTAGAATAAAGTTTCACACATTTTTATTACAGTAGTAGTTCTACTACACAACACTGTCATATCCACCATAGCAGTATACATTAATTATGTAATTCTGAAGCTATTAATTTACAGAATCCAAACAAAGATGACATTTAAGCATGCAGTTTGATATCCTTCTCTGTCAACATTTGTGAGGAAGTTAAAAAAAAAAACTGATAAAAAAAAAATCTGCTCTCTGTAGGCAGCATCTAAGACTTGAACAGCATGCAACTGAGATTAATAACCATAAATTGCACACCTGAATTTGCCCAAGTATTTTTTAATAACTTTTGTTGTTGTATGCTGAAATGGCATCATCGTATGCTGAAAATGAATGTTTCTTGATTAAAAAAAATGAGCACAACTCTAATGCAGCCCTGAGCACTCCTCCTTTCCTCCATCTATTCAATCCTTGGCAATGGAAAATGATCAAAATTGCTAATTAACTGAAGAATGGCAACTACTGTTCCATTAAACTACCAAAAACTGCTTGAATGCTGTACATGCTATTAGCAGCAACAGCAACAACAAAAAAAAAGCAACGTTTTCATCATTTCACAATAGAACTTACTTTCTGTAAGCAGTTTTTACATTGTAAGAAGCAGCCGAGTTCAAAATAGGAATGCCAAGGTCCATATAAATTTGCTTCCAAACAGCACCGCTCTCAATCTTTGGGGAGAGAAAAGACAAAAAGAAAGAGAAATGTAAGCTGTCATGTTTTGTTGAGCGAGAACATGAAGGAATGACACTTAACACACACACAAGTCACAGCCTTTAAGAAGGATGAGGCATTTAGTTTCGGGAACACCCGACACTTACATTGTCACACCCACCCTGCTGATATACCAGTCTAAACAGTTTGAAGAGATTAAGGTCCTTGTAGCCCAGAACAGGTGGTTTATTGATAGGAGTACCTAAATGAAACAAAAATAGGAATAAAAATTATCACAAAGAACAGCAAACTGCTTCCTCCATTCATTCAGCACGCAGTTCATTACTAAGTCTTCTGCATTTTAACATTTCTATTTAATAGCTCCAAGATGTGTCACAAGTCAGTAGTTTCCCACCAACAATCAAGGCTTCACCCTCTTCTGAACACATCACAAATTTCTGGGTGGTTCATTAGCGTTCTGGCAGCAGCTGCCTGATAACTATGATTTGTGCAATAATCCCTATCCAATTGGCTGCATCCCACTGTTCCCCTTTGGAGGTGGGGGGGCAGCAGAATTGCAGCAAGCTGTACAGAGTGCCTGATGAATGCTGGAATACGGCAACATGTGAAGAGCTTAACTCCAAGCACTGTGGTCTGAAAGAAGTGAGAAGGGGGCAGAAATGTTTCTTTTTGTAATGCAACACAGACAAACAATCAGAATGTGAAACAACACAAATTCCTAATAGGATGTGAATATTTGGGAAAAAGAAAGGATCTGAATCAGATGAGTGGCAATGATCTAAAGAACAATAATTAATTACAAAAGGAGAAACCAAAAGAGATTTTGAGCAAGTGGCTGTGCATGTACAGCATCCTTCCCAGCATGGAGGAGTATCACCCCATTTCCCACTGCTCTGTCATCTCCATCTTCATGCAATAGTATTTAGAATCCTGAAAAGAACTCTGTAGGACGTTGGGAATAATGTCATGATTACATGAATGGAAACATTCATAGTCAGAGCAGAGAATACAGAACAAATCTGGCAAGAATAGAAATACTGCTAAAAGGGCACAGGTTGAAAAACAAAAAAAAAGGCAAAAAAAAAAAAGGCAGGGAGAAAGATGCAGTCCTGAGAAGTCCTGAATACTGCTCAATCAACACGCTGGATTAAGGAACAATTCCTGCACTGGGTCTTCAAATTAAGTGCACAGACACCTTCCTGTTTCTCCTCTGCAAGTCACTGATGTCATCCCTCCTCTTGGTTCATAGAAGGTTTCTAAGAGTGCTTAAGGGAGTAGGAAAGGAAGCAAATAGAAGGGGGAGGACCCAGGCAACTGGGAAAGTGAAAAAATTTGGATTACTCCAGCAACATTTTTTTTTTTAATTATTAATTTTTATTTTTCCCTAAAAACCTCTTACTTCTCCAAGGCAGGTCATCTGTAGAAACACTGGTCCTACACAGACAGGCTCAAAATGATACTGGCGCTCTGCCACAACACATGATCTGTTTCTAAGCCTGTGATAAGCACTGGCAATACTGAACAGACTTTCATAGTCATAGACATAGCAATGCAGCAATCTTTAACAAAAGGTAAGCTGGCTTTTTCAACGTATTTTCCACTATAAAATCTACTTTTTTTTTTTTTTTTTCATTAAAAGGAAATAAGGGAGAAATATTCTGACACCACCATATAGCATCAGTCTCATCACAACTGCAAATGTGAATGGTTTATGCAACAGTTCTCTGAAGGGAGCAGGATGTACCTGCTGACTACCTAAACGTTGCACAAGCCTTTCCAATGGATGTCTTACCCCAGGACATTAACTGTTCCAATTCATTACAGTCTCACCTAATTCTGATTCTAAAATCATTTTAAATATGCCATTTTCTTGTTCTAGCTACTGGACAAAGTAGGACGTTCTTTCTTCAGGTGAGTATCACTGCTACATCTGTGCATGATTAAGGCAAGGGGCTGAAGATGGCACTTCTCTTATTATCTGCTGGTTGAATTTCATCATCCATGAACAGCCTCCTCGGGTTCCAGCCTAAGTCTAACAGCAGCAGAGCTGCCAGCCGCGGCTGTTACAAGAGAACAGCCAAGAGCTTATTTAACAGTGACTGTTAACACACAAAAAAAGGCTTTACAAAAGCAAAACAATAACACCTCAAGGAGGTTTTAAGTTTCCTGTGTGCACTGTGCTTCAAAGAACTTGAAGCAGATCTGCCACAGAAATGCCACTTGAAAACAGTGTTTTCCCCTGTCTAGGCTGTTATCCTTGTTCACTGATGTGAGAACATGCTCATAACAACATCCGCCACACTTTCAAAAGCCAGCAGAAAAGTGGACTGAAGGTGAAAGAAAATTCATCTGGCATTACCTCTGTCTTCCATAAACTTATAGAGCTGTTGGAGGAAGTTGTCCCTCTCTTCAGGATCAAGCTCTTCCTCGGGCTGCAAAAGCAAATGCAGTCACAATGAAAACAAAGTATGCAAAGTAACACTTGATTTGTACAGAAGCATAATGGCAAAAACTAAACCCCAACCACTTTCTGCTTGGCCCCACACCCTTAACATGGTGACACGTGCAGAAGACAAACTTTCCCTGGTGTGTTACAGTGGGTACCACAAGAGGAGAAAAAGAAAACGAAGAAGAGCATTCAGTGTGATCCTCAAAATGAAAATATTATTTAGTGTCTCATTCTAATACAGAAGAGGTCTGTTATTTACAGCACCGAAGCAGTTCATAGGAACATAGTATTGTTTGCTTACTAACCTTCCTCACCCAAACTACAGCTAAGGCTGGTAAATGCTTTCTCCAACTCTTCCTATTTTTGATGCTCAAGACGAATTCCTTTTGTGATTAAGCACTGATGCTTGCCTTCAGCTCACATTTGGAAATGCTTTTACAGACACTTCCACCATTCCCTAAACACATATTTTCCATACTTTTCTATTTTAAGTTCCTTCATCTTATCTTTAAAACCTAAATTCTTAAACAGACAAACACTTACAAAACATTATGGTAAGCAGTCCACATTGTATAACAACGCTTTTCTTCTTTTAACCATTAAATTTGGGGGAGGGTTGGAGGAAAGGCAAGAGAAAAAAATCCACTTTCTACATATCTATATAAACTTCACAGATTCTGAGATTCTAGCAGAGCCCAACAAAATCTTCTCCCTGCAATGCTTTATGCATGCCACATTCTTCCTGCCAGCCTGGCAATTACAGGACTGCTGCAAAGGCAGTTTGTACAAGGAAGACTGCAAGTGTCTTGAGAGAAAGACGTAGAGCACGTGTCAAAAACCTTACATTACTTTATTAAAAATAACAGAAAAGTCACACGCAGCTCCAGAAGGAAAGCAGAATTGTAATTTCAACTTCAGCCTCCTCTGTGTTCTACAAACTCAAAGCTCCAAGGCAGAAAGAGAGGCAGTGAAATGTAAATGTGCGTGCTACTGCTTTGTTAACCAGAAAGCAATCTGCCAAGCATCAGTATGAATTTCAGCTCTGTCTGCATCAGTGAATTCTATGCTTCAAAGCCCAACAGGGATCACCTACAGACAGACAGAGATGGTATCTGTTTCGTATTTTCCCATTTTTTCTTTGGAAATAATTGGAGGAAATTAAATGAGAAATTACATTTCCTCATGTTGCATATTATAGGGATTATATAAAGAGGAACAGTTATCTATAGAATTACATCCTTTCAGGTTAGCAAATGAATTATTGCTATAGAAACCACAGCTCCTTTTCCCTTTCTTGACAAGCTGCATCACGAACTTCACGATCGAGAAATTTCTAACACCTACTGTAATGTTTACTGAGTGGAGGCAATACGACTCTCACTATACCAACCAAATCCATCTGAACAACACTAAGCATTCAGGAATATTTCTGAAGAGCTGCACTCCAACCATTTCTCTTACAGAGGCTGAATGCCAAACCAGAACTGTAGGTCAGAACAGCAGAATGTAGGTTAGAAATAGCACTCTTGCAGACAGAACGTTAACTGTTTCACTGACATGCAGCATTTTCACCTGAAGAACAAAAAGGAAAGATGAAAGCTTTTACACGCTTACAGAATGGGGACAGGAAACCTGACTGCAGTATGTGAGATCTTGAGTTCCATACTCACTTCTCCCTGCAGACTGTGCGTGAGCCAGGCTGGCACTCAACAGGGACAGTCTGTGTCATGCCTGGCACCCACACCAGGGAAGGCCCAACTCCTTCTGAGAAGTGACCTCAATATGACACATGAAATGCTGATGCCACAACCTGCCATCACCATCAGAGAGTGAATGAAGAGCTACAGTTCCTAGAATATCCCTCCAGCCAGCAATGAGGCAACACTGATACCTTCTGAAAGCTCACCTCTATATCCAGACACACATGCCCATTTGCTAGATTGGGAATAAATAAGTTTATAGAGGGAATTCTTCAAAATTAGCTTTCTTAAGGACGGTTCTGTCTCTCCATTTCATTTTCCTCACAGAGATGTTGCAAAAAAGAGACAGTACCAAAGGCAAGTTCAAATGAGAAGCAAAACAACATCAGATTTGTTAGGGCCATGAGTTCAAAATCAAGACCTTTCTTCTTGTCCATCCAATACCCAGAAGTAGATGCAACGTGACAAAAAGTGTTTTGTTTCAGGCCACCTAATTTCATTTTCTAAATAAGTAAATAAAGCTCCAGAATGCCCTTTTTGCCTTATCACCAAAAAGCCAAATTTGGGGGTGTTTGAGAGTCTGTTTGTCCTTTCTAATGAGCAGGTCACATCATTCAAAGAATATGATAAACACTGAAAACTGAAAGCAGCAATGAACACAGGACTTCTGTATCATGTGTCTCCCAGTTCCATTTCATATTACCTTTCGAATAATGCTAACAGTACTCTCATGTATTTTGTACAAATTACTTGGCGGTCATTACTCTCAAAAATAAGCAGAACACAAACCCTGTGAACTTGCAGAAATCTCCTAATTGATTTTGCTTCATTTGCCTTCCAGCCCCTTTATGGACCATGAGTTCAGCCCTCTATCCTTAATATGATTTTCACAAAGAACACAGCTCAGTTACCCTGACCCATCATTTACTCTACAGAACAACACCGAAGCTTCTGTAGATGTTAACCTGAACAGCTGAGTGGGAGCACAGAGGAAAAATGCTTACAGGCATGCACATCATACACTCAGTCAACACCAAGCCAAGGTACCAGGAGCAGATCTTCCTGTCATTAACAGATTAACAACACAGTTAACTCCTACATGAAAGAAATGCAAGCTAAGAAGAGGAGCAGTGTGTACAGGACACAGAGTTCAGAAGAGCGCGCACTCAGGACAAGTTGTCAGCATTAATGTAAATCTGTTTTCATCATTTTAATGTTTCTTTCTTGATGCTGAATTTGAATTAAGGGAATGAAAAGAATTAAACCTACTGCAACAGGTTAGCAACTCTGCAATACATGAAGATGAGAAGCCTTAAAAAGTTCATCTCTACCAGGAAAAAGCATGAATCCAACCATCCCTACACACGGGCTGGGGCAGAAACGGACGATTCAGGTAACATTTTATTTGCTCTTTCAAAGTCACTGCAACAGGTTGCCCAAGGAGGCTGTGGATGCCCCATCCCTGCAGGCATTCAAGGCCAGGCTGGATGTGGCTCTGGGCAGCCTGGGCTGCAGGTTGGCGACCTGCACACAGCAGGGGGTTGGAATTGGATGAGCACCGTGCTCTTTTTCAGCCCAGGTCATTCTGTGATTCTGAGAGAAAAGACCACATGAGAATCAGGAACAGTATGGAAGTATTTTAATTTTAACTATTTGTTTCTGTTTTTTGTTTTTTTTTTTTTTTTTTTTTCTGGCCATGTTTTGTATGTTTGATTAAGGGGAGGAAATTAAAAGTGGAAGAATAAAGGGTCAGGTTGGGGTCTTCCAAAGATGATACTAAAGCCAACTCTACAGGTAGGACAGAAATCCTTTTAAACTCACAAAATTCTAACTAAAAGCAAATTCCTCACCCTTATTGAGGTCTTACGTTAACGTACCCATTAAGAACACATACTGAAAATGCACTTCAAAAGACTGCATGTTGAAATCTTGATTCCTTTGGAGTCAGAAAGGTCTACAGGGAGACTGAAAGGAACAAACATTGCCTACAAGTTCCCCCGTAAAACAGCAGGTATTTGGTTATTTCATCCTGAGAAGCAGCAAACAGGGATGATTTCTCCCCTTGCAGAACAACTGAATTACAAATACACCAGTACACATAAGAAGATTTTTAACAAAAATTAGGTAGCACAAGAAAAGCTTCCATCTCGATGGAGATAGTGGACTTCAGATTCTATTCTCTTTCCTTGTATCTGCAGTGCATCCTTTGACTACCAAACATGCCCTTAAATCACAACCATCTCATTAGGCCAGGTTGAAAACTAGATAAAAACAAAGAGAAATATCCAAATTCTTACCTGGAGTCAAACCAAGAGTGTTGGTTTTTATTTTTATTTTATTTTATTTTAATTTCACTTTATAACGAAATTCTTTTCTACAATACCTCCTAATTTTTCTCACCTTTTGTGACACAAGCAACATCTGTTCTGTTATTCAAACCTCACGGTGTGAATCAGAAGTAATCCCAAGTTGCATTACACATTGCAAACACTGCCAAAAATCCAACCAGGTGAACATGCTGAGCAACTCAATCCAATGCAATCCTTGTTAAAGTCAATGGCAAACAATTTCCACCTTTTCTTCCTTTAGAATCAACTCAGGACCACACAAGTCAGTTACCAGCAGTGAGGATTAGCATCTCACCACCACCGTACTGCTCCCATTCCTCAGAGCATGAAAAACATCACAGAACAACCACGAAAATCCTGAAAACAGTCATTCTAATTGCACTATAAATACCTGATGAAAGGTGGCATAATTAGCAAGACAGCCTGTGTCAAAACAAAGTTACAGATTTTAATCCTGGCTGGATAAATAGTAGGGTCTATCATCACTAGCTGTAGCAGGTCTCTGCTCCATTACCATCAGAAAAGATCCTACTGCAGAAAAATAGGATCCCTTCCACCCTCAGAGTCAGACTCTTCTGACTGACTCGATACTTTCATTACACATTAAGTAGGTCTGAGGCCATTTGATTGATTTAAGGAAGGCCTATCACAGCAGGTCAGCAGCAGGCCAAGCCGTGACAGCAAAGCTACTCTGTGTTTCAGACGATGGGACTGAGGGGCGTGGAGGAAAAACGATCATTCTGTAAACCTCTGTCCCATTTCCAGCAACGTAACAACATGCAGTCCCACAAAAAATAGGTCCAGTGAAGCTATTCTGACAGAGAATGGGCAGAAGCTATTTGGACCTTGATTATTAAATGAGAAAGTCTACAAAATACAAATGCAAAATCTGAGCAATTCAACATTTGCAGTGAAATAATGGCAAGGCAGCATCATTCCCTCATCAGTTCTCTGCAACTGGTATTACTGCCCTTTAAGGAAAAAGAAAAAAGAAGAAATGATGACAAATTCTTTAAATGCTCTCTTACTGCAGCAGCTAGCTTGGCCCACAATTGAAACAAATCATATATTCTAACAGTTGAATCAGAAATTGGATTTCATGGGCTAAAATGACAATTCTGCTCTGAGAATCAGAAGAGATTACTACCTCTCCTCTGCTACACAGCTTCAGCATGAAAATGCTCACCGTATTTTTATATCCCTACTTGTCACCTGGAATTAATGGATTCCACAGCTTTCCATACCAACACACCTGCTTGTCTGTAATCTTTCGTTTCACTTCTTTATATTTGGATTATTCCTTAAAAACAGCCCTATTTCTTTTATAGGAATGCGCTTTTTTTCTCCTTTTTTTTTTTTTTTTAAACCACCAAGCTCTCCCTCCCCCTTCTTTGTTTAAAACACACAGCACTTTTCTGCAAAAGCCACAAAAAATGCCATTAAAAAGGGATACAAGAAAACAAGTCGATCAATTCTTAATTTTCAGTGCTGATATTCAGCAAATTCAGACAACATTAATGCAAACAGACTAATACAAACTGCAACAGTTCACACCCTGCAAAAATGTGGCCTATTCACTGCAAACAGAGGAAAAACCCCAAAGGATTTTATATTCCACACACATTTGGCCTTACGTTTATCTAATCAGATCATTATTTCCATATAGACATCCACTCCGTTTTCCGGAACAGCAATTAATCCATAAAATTAACACCTAAAAATAGCTTCTTATTGTCCTTTCTATGTGAAAAGCTCCAGCCTGGTTGCATGCTCCACCAGACAGTTCACAGATCAGAAATCTACAAATCTACCTCCAAATCCACATTCTCAACAAAGCACGCTAACATTACAGATGAAAACACAGAATCCTTACCTACGAGCTGCATTCTTTCAAATGTTAAATGGTTTTATTTCCTTTCTGCCTATCGTGCCCAATGCCTGGACATATTTCAGCCTGACTTCCAAATATTTGTTTTTCTTTCTCTCTTTCTCTCTCTCTCTCACCGCACGGCATCCGCAGTTATACAGCATTACTTACATTCTCTTCCACATTTAAAAAAAAAAAAATAAATAAATAAATTAAAAAATAAAAATAAAAATCAGACATTACATGAAAGGCAAAGAAAGAGACAGCCCATTTCAAAGCATCTGGCAAGCCTCCCCTGGCAGGCTGCCAAGCCTCTGCTAAATCTTCCTCTCTTTTGGAGCATGCTCACTCCACGCCAACAGAATGTTGCTGTGGCAACACCGTAGGCAGCCTCCAAGTATGAACAGCCATTCTGTTTTCGCTGTGACAAAACCACACGCTGCAGGGGAAGTGAAAGGGAAACGATATTTGACCTTCCCTAGGAGAGGGACTTCACTGGATTTTTCTGTATAAAGAACCAAACGTCGCCAAGCGTATCGTGAAAACGGCCAGAAACAAAGGGAAAACAAACAAATCCCACCAGCGATCCCCTCCTCCAACTTTCTTACTAATTTAGCATCAACATTAGAAACAGGTAGCAGGTATAAAAGGAACACGGAGAAACAAGTTTTTGATGACAAGAAACTGGTTGTGGAAAATCACTTCAAATAATGCTGAAATTCTGCCGTAAATCTCCATTGAGTATTAAACTCCCTCCACTTGGTACCATCCCTAACCTGTAACATTAGAGATCAGAAAAGAGCTAATGCTGTGACTCACATATAAAGGTAAGTATTGCACTGCTTTTGGTGTCTTAGGCAGCAAAGAGCTCTAACAGGCACTGTGCATTAGCTCCTGCTTTGTTGGCCTGGCAATTTTGCTTTTGTAGTTTAGTCTGTCTTCTCATCAAACTACGATTTTCAGAAACAAGATACTTTCTTACATGAATGACATAGGAAGTTCAAAAGAAAAATACAAAGCTATTTTTATAGTGTTGGATCACAAATGTTTGCTTTGGCATCCATTTGCTCGTTTTTCTTTCACCCAAATTCTTTCCATCACTCTTTTCTGCCTTTTATTCTTTATTTCTGACCAGGAGCAAAGGGAGGATGCACAGCTCTGAAAACACACTGAAGTTAAGACAGAGCAGAACTTTATGAAGCGGAATACCTTTAAACATGCATGTTATTCTACTATCTATGAAGAGTAACTGAAATTGCCCAGACTTACCAGCACTTCTTCATTTTTCTCTTCTCTTTTTATTTCCTCTTCATCAGTTTCTGCAGCAGCTCCATCTTCCTCATCACTGCTAGAGGATTCCATAATTTCACTTATGTCCATCTTCCAGTTCCGAGGAACCACCTTTGTGCTGAGAAACGTGTTTGCTTCCTGAAGCCCTACAGAAGAAAGGGCCCTATGTTTACCTCATCCCAAGTATTTATAATCAGAAAGCATTTTTCAATTTCCTTTTCATACTCTTGTAAATTAACAAAGCAAACTTAAACCAAAAATGATAGTAAGTGATGGAGTAGCTTTAAACACTCAGTCTACATAGTACATACTTAAAGACAGATTTTAAAGATCAAGTATCAGAACTTCAAGGAGCTTAGATTTGAGAGCATCCATCTGTGTTTTTCAGCCAGAGGGTGGTGAGGCACTGGCACAGGTTGCCCAAGGAGGCTGTGGATGCCCCATCCCTGCAGGCATTCAAGGCCAGGCTGGATGTGGCTCTGGGCAGCCTGGGCTGCTGGTTGGTGACCTGCACACAGCAGCGGGTTGGAACTGGATGAGCATTGTGCTCCTTTGCAACCCAGGCCATTCTATGACTCTGTGGTATTTCCTAGACACATCCTCATGAGCACCACTAAGACTTGCATCTAGTAATTTACACAGTATCAAAGACCTTTACTTATCCACATTTTCCACGTAACTGCAAAGCTGTTTTGTTTCTGTATCAAAGTGGCAAATACTGCAGTAAAACCAATTAAAAACAAACAAAAGCCCCAAACCATCACAGTTAAGATACCATGGATTTCTTTGCTCTTTTTAAGAGATCTTCATGCCTTAAAGTTTAGATTGCAAAAACAAACAAACAAAACCCCACACCAACATTTTGTTAAAGAAAGCTGCTTAAGGAGATTCTGTCCCATTCATGTCTGGAACATCAGAGACCATTCTGATGAATAAGGGAGTGATGGTACAGGGAGAAGTCATGCTTGTATAGCAGGAATACCTCGAATTCCTTTTCTTCAACAAGGAGGAATCAGAAGATTACCCAAAAGAGGGACATACTGCAATGAACCATTCAAAGCTTTGCTAGAGATGAAAAAGCACCAGCACCTAATAACTGCTGGTAGAGTTCCTGTACTCTGAAATAATTAATAAGAAGAAAGCACATGGGAAATCTTAAATCAAACCACCTCCAGCTGTCTTGCTTGCATTATGTAAAGAAGCTGCTCCACATCTTTACTCAAAACAAAGGAACTCTTGGTGGTGGTTTTTCTCATTTGTGTATTTGTTTTTTAAATAAACATTGGAACCTTTCCCCTTCAAAAATGATATGTTTTGACTGGGATGAACAGCACTAAAAGTTTAAGATTCACATTAAGGTGAGAAACTGGCCTTCACAAGCTCAGGAAAAACACGAATACTGCAGTCACATCATCCATCCATTCAGAAAATCACCCTCTGTAATTATGCTCTTCAATCAAACGTTAATTTCAGGCTATTGACATAAGCTATTCTATTAAAGGTTACACTTCCATGCCTGGGTACTTTTCATTTAAAGACAAAAAGTGTTCCAACTATAGTGTAAATCATTGGTTCCAGGAGGGGTAACTCTGTATGTCATTTTTCAATGACATTTCAAGCACTGTACCTTCAAAATCACCTTTTTAATTTGCATAAATTTGGAGTGGAATGAAAGAAGGAAACAAAACCAAATAAGCAACACTTCTATTAGTTGCTATGTTATTAATTAGGCAGTTGTATCCAAAGCTTTTCAAATTTATCACATTTAAAGCTGCTTGCAGAACAGATGACCAGGAGAATTCTCTTCAACACGCAGTTGTTACTCTGCTAAAGTTAACATTACTGCTGGCTAAGTCTACGTTTTTAAAACACCTAGAATTTACTCAAGTTTACCTTTTTTAGGCGAGGACTCCGATTTTGGTAAGTTTAGAGCATCTACTTCTTTAATGTCTTTTCTTGCTACTGAGTAACTGAAAAAAAAGAAGAAAGTTCTGTTACTTTTATAACACAGTGAAACAAGTATTTGACCCATACAAATAGAGACTTCTAAAAATTCTAGTATTTCTTACTCAGTTTCAAGCTCCTTTCCTACAAGTAAATGTAAGACATTTGTTACTGTGGTCCCTTGTACAAGATTTAGAACCAGAATAAGTTCCCAATATTCACGTCCGAAATTCAGACAATGAAGGAATACTTATAATAAAGAAAAACATGTGAAGTTTCTACATGGCAAACATTCAGCCTGCACACATTTGCAAAGTTGAAATAGTCTAAAAACGCTGAAAACATTTTCTAAATCCAAAAGACACCATCAATAGCTGCTACCCAGAACAGCAACGAGTTAAAAGGAAACGAGCATTCTATTTTCAAAACACACTTCCACTAGCACAGAACAAGGCAAACTCACACATCTGCATTGATACACTGCTGCCAAACTGTCCTCATAGCAAAATATATGGAAATTACTCTGTTCTGAAGTTATAAAAACTACTCAGTTACTGAATTACTATAATATAAATGCTAACCAACCTGCAAGGAAAGCCTTACAAGTGAGTTATTACAATAAGTTTGTTTTTCTTCTTTCGCTGTATTCAGAAAAAGTGGAGTAAAGCCTCAGGAATTGGAGGCTGCCATTTTCTGAAGTTAAAGCCATAATACTATGGGAAAAAAAAGAGTAGAACAGAGCCAGGCTGCATGCTTTTCCAACAACACTGTACCTTCAGTATTCAGAGCCAAATTAATCTAGGAAGCTGACGATGTGTCTACATTCAGAAGCAAAACTGAATGCCTTCTGCTACCTGAAATGTGTTTCAGTGACCAAATCCTCGTCCCTGAGTCAACACTGTGGCTACTAGAAATCACAACAGTGAGGAAGAAGAGTGCCAGGTGGCCTTCACCAAGGATGTTTCTGGTTACAGTATGCTGAGACAGATGCACTAGAAGTGCATGAGAAAAGACAAACAAGGGGAAGCAACCTTCACAAACAGTCTTAATATTCTTCTGAATACACTTTTCCTTAAGTAACACACGTCTCTCCCACCATCCACTCATCCACTCACAGTTTTTTCAAGGCGGTATGGGGACAGGAAAAGGTTAGAAGACCTTTCTTTCCTTTTCCCAGAACTCTTGATTGAGATTCTGTAAGTATTTTAATTAAACTGTTAATTTACATCCACTTAAAATTTAGAAGTGGATTAAATACTTTTTAAACTTTGCTATTTAAACAGCAATGACATCTGGGCACACGAGGTAATGGGTCAATCAGGTATTGAAGCTACTGCAACAGACACACGTGACAGTTGTAGTAGTTAAGACATTAATAATATTTCTTGAAACTGAAACACACTTTACAGGACAGGAATGACCAGAAGTTAACATCTAGTTGTTTGTTTTTTGAAGTTGCTGACTTCTCTTTCCTCTCTGAAGGCACCGAATTCTGTACCAATCCGTAGTACAAATACAATATAAAGGGGGAAGCAGGGAGAGCACAAAGAAAAAATTAGTTGGAATTGAACTATGAGTGACAAAGGCTAAAAAAATATACATATAAATTCCCTTAAATTGGAATTAAGCAATAACTATGTATGTTACTCAAAATGTACAATATTGCAAGCCTTCTTAAGTGTGAAGAACCATTTGTTTGCACTTCACATCGCAAAGGAACAGCAACTGTATACAAGCAACAATACACAAAGTTGGACCCTCCACTTTTGGATAAAGCTGTTAACACCTCCAGAAGCAAGATCTTATATAGGAAAAGAATGAAGAAGTAGTAAATCTAATAAAGGTAAGCTGTTACTTACAATTTGGAATCTGCAAAGGATCGGACTAAACACTGGTCCTTTTTCACTGTGACGTCATCATTACAGCTGGGAGAAACAACCTGAAGTTTCAAACAAAACATTTTTTTTTTAAAGCAGAAAAGAAAATGAAATAGCTTTTCTTGAAAGGAATGACAGCAGGAAAAGAGCTGCTTCCTTCTTTCTTCCAGCGTAATTTTCAGCTCTGAGAAAAGCAACGTACTCCAGTTGATATTAGCAGGGCCAAAAATAACAAATTACAAGAAGTAGTTTATCTCAAGCTATTTACTCTACTTGTCATGCACAAGCTGGAAGTTTACTATTTCATTTGTAAACTCAAACTACTCCTCTACAGAGCTGACACTGCATTGTCCTATGCATGCACTCAGTCTTTTCTCCTGTTCATAGAAGAACTGCTTGCAGCAACTATTCAAACCAACAACAAAAGTTACAGACCTATTTACTTTATATCAAATTCTGATCTGAGGGATTCAGCCTAAGAGATAAGTAGCTTGGGTTTTTTTGGTTGTTTTGTTTGTTTGTTAGTTTGTTTTTTGAGATGTAGCTAATATAAACCAGTACAGATTCCAATGCATTCTTCCACAGCAGTATTATCTCCAGAAGTCTAAAAAGGTGCTATAAATTTAATTGCAGTATTTGTATTACCACAAACAAGTTTACATTTTACTCCAGACCACACATGTGGAAAAAAACACATTGAATGCAGATAAACTCCTGGATCTACCAGAATTCAGTGGAAGGTGGACCACCCCATTCAGATGAGGCAGACAGACAAAAAGACTTTCCTGCTTCTCAGCTCACAGACAGCTACACAGCCACTAAGGAAGGTAATCCCCTGCCTGGAACCACGTAAAGTTCAAATCTGCTGTTCATAAAGCAATATACAGCAATCAGAAGACACATTGCAACACCACATTTCACATTTTAAACTGAGGTACAGCTGCTAACTCAACTGTGCACCCTGTATTAAATATCTGCAAAACTCTGTGAACAAAATCTGTCCATCTGTTCAATGCTCCAAGCAACAATCACATCTTTTTTGAGTGACAGAAGATGCATATTAAGCTTGTCTAACACTATCAGAAAAGTCTACTTAAGAAAAAAAACTTTTTATGTGTATCTATAAATTGTTTTGGGCTTACAGAGGATCTGCCTTTACAGTACAAGCAAAGGCACTTGAATTTAGTCAATATTTATTGTTAGAGAAGGTAATAAACAGGATCAATCAATGTAGTCAGATGAAAATAGTAGCCAGCCTACTGCTAGATGAACTGGCTGTGTCATGTAGCTGCATGCATGATAAGAACTTGTAGTTAAACCTGAAAGCCTAAGGAAAAAGGCAATCATTAAATACCAAGAAAAAATTCATGACATATCAATCATTTCACGTACAGTTTTGACTGACTTAAGAGCCATCAAACTGTAAGTTATACACAAATATTCATTGTTGTTCTCCTACTGTTCACAGACACTGTAGAATATTTGGATTTTTAGAGAATATGGGCAGCACAGCTGGCCTGACTGCATTCACAGCTTTGCTGCAGAAGTGTGCAAACTGTCCAAGCCAAGAAAACTGTTATAGGAACAGTGCAGCAAATTGGATTATATTCTTGTCAGAAAACAGTAATGTGAAATTAAAGATTTCAATGTTTTAAACAACTTACCAAAGCTGGATACCAGTCTGCCTTCTCAGAATTACAGGTCACACTCACAACTTTGCCAAGCAGTTCATCATTGAGACGCCTTTTATCTTCATCCTCTTCTTCACTACTTTCTTCTTCCTTTTCATCTTCAGTTCTGAATTATTAAAACATACAATATTTTAAAGTTTTCACCTGAGGTTAATATTTGAAAGCAAAAATAATTAACAGCCAGATCTTCCTTGTTTTTCTGCAAGGACTCAGAAATAAAATTATAATTTTAAGAACTGAAATTGCTGGAAACACTCCTAAGTAACAAATGCACTGACTTAAAGGATTCTTGTAGAAATTCTTTCCAAATAGTAGCATTTTACCACAGCATCATGTTGGAATTGGAGATGTGAATCAGCATATGATTGCACAGTGACATGAAACAAAAGGGAAAGAATCTCCACCCTTAAAATTTAAAAGCACCTTTTTTCCTATTTTATAAAGCAGCTTAAAAATCCCACATTTCCTGACATGACTTCGTATTATGTGAAAGGAGAATGGAGAGCCTTAAGGCTACTGCAAGGGACAAAAACAGCAACAATAAAACATCCATTTCATACTACAGCTAAAATATCAACAAGTCTGCATGAACTGAACTTCTCAGTCTATCATCTTTGTATGCAGCTCACATGATGATCCATCCACAGAATCACAAGGCTGGAAACGACCTGCAAGATCATCTAGTCCAACCACCCTCCCATTCCTATTAGTACCACAAGCACTGTGTGCTTGTCCAGACTGTTACAGCTTTAACTGAACTACAGTTTTAGCAAAGGACACTGAAGTGAAGGAACAGAGCACTAACAAAACTCACACAGGAAGAGAAGATCTCCTTCCTCTATTAGATTTCTTCCCAATAACTGGAGTTCCAAAGTGCTCTGGGTTGGTTAGTGGCAATTGATCGAGTGTCTACGTGAACAAAGAAGAAACAAAGTTAATTTGCAGTTTCTCATATGAAAAAAAATTAACTGTCTACTACCCAGTTTTTAATGTATGTCCATCATCTTACCTCACTTTCTGCAAAGTGCCTTTCTCCCTTCAAGCATAACGAAGTTCGTCTCAAGGTCCTTTCGTCACCATCATCGAAAACTAGAATGCAAGCAAGAAAACATGTTGGCAGAAAATGATCCCAAACTGACAAAGCAAGTCTACTGTTCACCATGCAATTTAGAATACTCTCTAAAGCACGATTTCAAAGACCTTCACTTTGACATTTATTTGGTTCACAAACACAGGGGAGGTGTTCAAGATTCAGCCTAAGGAAGGGTAACACTCAAATTCACATCAGTGCCCAGGAAGGCTTTTGGAAGCTGTAGCTTTAATCTAATTTAGACATCCACCTTATCAATACATTGCACTTCTTCAAACCACAGCTACTGGCTGTATACCAGTTACTATTATCTAACAGTGTTTTTTCTTTTTTGTTGTTCTTGCTTTTAAATTATCCATTTATTCCTCACTCATTCTTTTGATTCCCCTCCTTTTAATTCTCTTTCTCCTGCTGCACAGAACTCAGAATTGACAGAATTCAGAAAGAAGATTTAGTAGACAAATAAAGATGTTAAGGGTAAGGCAAAAGGAAGTTCCACCAGTTTCCAATATGCAGCTGAAGAAGTCCAGGACACTCTGAGTTCACTGTAAGTTTTGCCTGAGAAATATCTACCCTTCGGTCACTTTAAAACATTTTCACCAAGATTTCCATTAAGATAAGGAAAGAAAAGTTATTAGTTTCCCCGCTTGCTGAATTTTATTTCAAATGTTTTGGTACCTACAGTTTGAAGTAAGCAACAATATTCCTTTTATCTCAAATATGTCACAGAAACAGCTTGTATTTTAAGGAACACACAATATTTTGGCAACATGGTTTCCCATGTTCTGGTTCAGATCCCTCTGCATGAGCCACAAGAACGGGCTCTTTTCACAGAGCAGAGACCAGGTGGCTGCAGTCAGTCTGGAAAGTTAAAAGTTTATTTGTATGGGTCAAAGGGCAGAATACTATTCTATATTTAAACTACTTGAAATGTGCTTTGTCCAGTAACTAACTTTTTTTTTTTTTTAATTAAAATAAGAAAGTGTAAAGAGCATTTTGTTTATCAATGCAGTAATTCTGGCATACTTCTATTAAAAAAAATATGAAATTACATGATTTGTTAGCAAAAAGTACAATTCAGTCACAACAAGAAAAGCATTTCTCTCACTTGTCAACAGAACAGAATGGCCATATTCTCAATCCTAGATTGAAACCTTGGACTGGAATAATACTGCAATAACAGCTCATAATAACATATGAATACAAACTTAGTTAAGCTTGATAAGATAAGCATTGAGATTGTTAGAATCTCAGAGTGGAGATAGTGCTGCTGTACATTGCAATACTGAATTATCTTAATGGCTTGTGTCATTATGCAGTACACAGAAAGCAAATCCTGAACCCTAACATTTTAAGAACAGCAGAAAGATATATGCCTAATTAGCCATATTAACCTTTTCAAAGCCTTTAAAATACGAATCCCACAAAGACCTGTCAATCTCAGTGCCAATACAATACTCTCAAAATCCTCTGGTTTGGCTGACAGCTGAAGGAAGCCAGCACTGATGCACTTTGCACTGAAGTATGAGGTCTCCCCCTCAGCAGTGTACGAGATGTTTACATCTTATATACATTTCAGCCCTTTGATCTTTAACTGCCACCTAATCTGTACATAATATTCATACATACACTTTGATAGAATGCAGTGGTATACTTTCAGGGACCCTACAAGTGCCTGCAATTTCTCATTGTTCTGAAGAGGTTTAAAAGCAGATCATCATCATTATGCTTTACTGAACACATTCAGAACTGAAGTCAAAGCACTTCACAAACAAGGTTTTAGGGAACAGAAGGCTGGTGATTAGCAATAGGTAACTTTATTGGAAACAGCAAATAGGATCTGATACTTGGCAGTAAAGAAAAAATACAATCAGTCTATCTTATTCCTACTTCCAGAAGTATCACCTTCATAAGTTTCTACGTCACCTCCGCAGGCAAATACGACTCCTCCTCTTGGAAGGAATCTGACTTAATCAGAAGCATGCCTTGATACTGTCAGCACCTTTTCAGAGATACACCTTCCTGAAGATAAGTAGGCCTTGTGCTTCCATCTCAGGTGCCTTTTTCTGAAAAATCTACTTCACAAAACATACAGCTCATATTGCCTCCACCCCGTGCACAACTTTTAAATGCAAGTCCTAAGGCCTTTAGGAGAATGACTTTTCACCATACAAATATTATACATGCTATGGATTTAAGAGATATAAGCAGTAGATGAGATAGCAGAGTTTTGTCTATGCACTACATCAATAGTATAATAGCAATCATGGCAGAAGAACATAATAGGCTCTTAAATTAAAACTGCACATTCATTCTTCTTTGCCTATATTAACAAGTATGACTGTTTAGGTAAAATGCCTGGTACTAACAAAGAGATAAAAACTGTTGAACTGATGCTGAACAACTTATATGAATTGCTTTATTGTTTCCCAAACAGGTCATTGTTACACCTCCAAATTCTCTGACAGCAGAAATGCTTACATGCTGTATTTCTTAAGGAAGGCTGCTGAACAGTCAGGCATACGAAGGAGGAAAGGAAATGGGGATGGAAGGCAGGGATATCTCTCTCCATGCCCACCCAATTCAGCCATCGAAAGATGCATTCACAGTGTCACAATATTTATCACAGAAGGGGGACTTAAAGTCCTGTCTCCCTAAAGAAGCAGAAGCCCTTTATGTGCCACTGCTGCCTAACCCTGAAGAGGGCACGTATTCACCGGGGCAACAGCCATTTCCCAGCTGTCTGCTCCAGCAAATACTTCTGGGAAGAGAGCAATACCTCCTAGCCAGGAAACTAACTCTACTTTTTAAGAGTCAATCTGACAAAGTAGGAATGACAGGAGGAAAAGCTGGCCAGAGGCCTTTCTTCCAAGGCGTGTTATTTAACCAAGAACAGTGACAGAAGGAGAAGAAAGATGACTAAGCAGCACAGCCTGGAGGAACAGTCTCTATTCTGTTTGTTCTCATTCAATTCCCAAGAATGCCCTATATGGAGCTCAGTATGTTCCATATACAGCATTGTTAAACAGTGGAAACAAAATGGAAAATTTCAGACTTTTGCTGCAACCCAGCCTTGTCAGTAACAACAGGTAACAAACAGAAGTGGATGCACTCCTGTCCATGGAAGCTTAGGCAAGCCAAAGCTATGACAGAAAAACAAAATTATCCATTGGGAATCATTGCAGTACTTTCAGTAAGCTAGGAAAACAAATATCTCAAAAACTCCCTCTTAAAAATGGAGTCCATCAAACATGCATTAAGCAGTGTAGCTTTCCACTAGCCCTGGATTAGCAGTTATCCTCCATTCCCTGGCTGCAGCAGGCCCATGCATGTCTCTATAAGCTATTAGCAACAGTAACACTAATCCTAACCCTGCCCTCACAAAAACACTATCTCAACATCCGTTCTCATTTGGTTATAAAGGAAATATTAAAAAGCCAACTAATCCAAATAGTGCTTAAAAACCAGGGAGAAACTCATCCCAAGCTACTGCAGATCAGCCATCTTATAAATATCTTATTTATATATATCACAAGATAAAGGGAAAAAAGAAAAAGAAATAAAGAGAACAAAGCAGGAGAGCAGCGGTAACATACTTGAAATAGTTACATTACTTGAACACACAGCAATCAGTCTTACCAGAACAAGGCAGTTTTGTAACATACAAGTGAATACAGAAAGTAACCCTCCAGGCTGCATCAGCTTGCTAACTTCAAATCCAACAAGTTACGTTACTGTCCTTGCTCAAAAGAGGAGAGATTCCACACTGCATAGCAAGCAAACGTTTTTATTTTATTACTCTTCCTATTCAAAGTTTTCTAAACCTACCGAGACAATGAAAGTATATGCCAACAAATAAAAACTGTGTCACTATTTCACTACTTGCCTAAGGTGTATCAGCTATCAGAGATGCTACCCATGAATTATCCACAAACATGTGAAAGCCTTTTAGCTTTTTGTTTTTCAACTACAGAAACAATATAGAAAGTACCAGGATTCAGGCTGCACTTGTTGAATAACCCTGCAGATAAGGACTGCACTAATCACTGATTCATCGTTGTAACAAGATGCTGCAATGGATTGTGCTCCTCCAGAGACCAAGCAATTCAGTGATGTGTTATATTTTAGAAAAAGAAAACAACTCTAGAGGAACTGTTCCTCTGCTCAGGTATGTATGAAATATCCCTGAAAGCACCAAAGAATAAACCTTGAGATTCCTCCTACATAAGGCTATCATAAGAACCTACTGCCTGAAAGCCTTTTTTCTGAGATGTTATAGTAATCTTACTATCGTTACATAGATTTGGAAGGAAAAAAAAACACCTCCCTGCATTTAGCAGAACAGTACAGTATTACTGTATTGTACCTCTACAGTATTACTTATACACAATAACTTTGCTATAAGGCACTGTCCACATTGTAACAAAGATGGTTTACAAGCAAGGGTTCCATGCCATGAGTTGTAACAAGGCTCAGTTGCTATACTTCCCCTCCCACACCTGCTCTCTATCTGCAGGTGCTGGAGCACAAAATGCTGTGCTGCTCTTTTATTTCCCAGACTCTTCAGAAAGCAACCAACACAGCTGTGGCACAGTTCTGTGTGTGCTGCAGACACACTTAATCCATGATACGCCCCATGGAGTGATGCTGGAAAATATGGGATTTCTTCAAAATCCAAGCAAGCAGCATTTTGGAGACGAAAAGAAAGTGGTGGTGGGTCAGGGAGGATTGCAGCACCAGAGAAGTGGGGGTGACTGGACACTTCCCCTGCCACACTCGTCCTTTAGGATTCCTGGGTGACGCATGCATAGCCAGAAGATGAAGCGATGCATCTGGACTGTACAACTCAACAGGATGCTGGGAAGAAGAACTGGTCCAACCAGCCACACAAACACAACTCCAGCCTTGCACATACTACAAAAAGCCTGCTGTAGACATTATGAAAAGACAAACTGGCAAGACTTTGGAATGGATGAAATCTAGTGACTGATAGCCTCTATCACCCTCCAGACAGGAGTAAGGCTGCATCCAGCATTTCCTAAACGTGACACCCCACAGTGACACAACTTGTGGCCAAGACCTCATTTCCACAACAACCCAGACCACCCAAACTTCACCTGCATAGGGATGAGCAGTCAGGTATCAACTCCCCTCTCTTCCCCCAGCACACACACTCAGATAACAGCATTCCCTGCAAAATGCCCCAGTGACCACAAGAGAGGAGGAAGTCACCCCTTGTGAATCTGCAGGGCAGCCCAAGCAAGGGGAGGGTGCTCACAGAGGTCTCACAAGTGGTGTTCGGCCCACAGCACAACCAGATGGGCCACACTGAATGTACAGCACTGCACCAGAGCCAAAAAGGGAAACTCTTTTGGCTTTGCAGATTCACACCGCATTTAAAAGAATGAGCAAAATTAATTACTATTTATACTAAAATATTCTGATAATTTTTAAAAAGATGCCTTACATAATAGCCAGAAAGCCATAGTTCTCAGAGAAATAAAAAAAAAACCACACTGCTTTTTACTCCAAATGGTATAAAAAGCACTACTGTGACAGCAAGGTCTACTAGAAACCACAAGTGCTCATCAATGCTTTTAATTTCTGTATTTTCCCTACATTGCAGAGCTAAAATGATTAAAGCTAGCTGTATGTCTTCTCTTTCTTTAGAAAGACTTTTCCGTGATTTTATCTTTCGGAAGACACGATGCAATGTATTTGGTCTGGTTTTACTTTCATTGAAAGCTGTAGCAGTGGTTAAATCTTCAACGAGAGACCTAAGCATATGCAGGTTACTGGTATTATCAAGAGGAAGGTGATACTTGTTTTGATGAGGCAAGAAAAGAGACTGATTTAAAGCAACTCTTCACTGAAGAAGTGAAATACAGTTTTGTACTTTTATGTAGACACTACGTTACTTTCAGCTTTGAAAAGAAGTTATACAAAAGTGTTTCCTTACACTTATACACAAGGATTTCTGCTTTGTGACATTCTGGTAATGGCAGTAAAACTCCAGAAAAAATTACAGCAGGAAAATATAACTATGTGCAGTGTGATGTTTGACCTGTTTTACAAATTAACAGAGAATCAGGTGGGTGTACACTAAGTTAGCAGCAATTCAAACGTGGCTCAGCCGAGAACAGATCTGACAGACTGCTCTAATGCTAGGTAATTATCACTTAGCAATATATCCAGCACTTCAAAAGCATCAATGCAGCACTTCAAAAAATCGCAAGTTCATTTAAAATAATTAAGTTTTAAAAGACTAAAAACTCAACCGAGCCATTTGTTACCCCAGGAACTTACACTGCTAGCCCTGTCGTCTCCCTATAGACTCCATCGAGCAGACGAGAGGGCTGAGTTGTGCAACTCAGTTTTCCAGGCTTTGTTAAGTCCTCACCCCCAACAGCTGTGTCTCTTCACCTACTTGAGCACTGAGAGATTTTTGAAGGCATTTCAAGTACTCCAGTTGAAAATTTCAACACGACTAAATGGCTACAATAACACCATTGCTAGATGTGGTACCAGGTGAAACAGCCATTTCAGAGCAGCTACCATTACAAGAATAAAAGAGATCCTTACTTATTTTGGGCAGATGGACACCACTAACAGGCAGAACTCATGTTAGAAGAGATTTTGGGGATCTGCTATGCTGGTGACAAAAGCAAATTATTATTTATTTATTAACCCACATATATTACTGACCTCTCTACCCTTATCGGTCATAGTTTTAAATCACAAAGAGGTGATGATCCATAGAACAGAAATTAAATGCTACAGGAGCACATACTAAAAGCAAGCTTTCTCCTGTGCTTCCAACTCAAGGCTGACCACGGTTCAGGAAAACATTTCAGAACTGGAAAAGCTGTTTAATCCACTTCCCTTTCAAGTTTTGAGCTTTGACTGAATCGTCAATAAGACTGCCAAGGAGCACAGCCACCATCTATTAAAGGGGAACCAATTCAGCTCTTGTTTACTTGACAGCAACATAAACATACACTCCATACTTATCCAAAGCTTTCTACAAAGTTACAATGGGAGAAGCAGGCTAAAAAAAAAGGCTTATTTCTCACACTCTGACATCTCTGTACTCAAGCTAAAGCACTTCCACTACTATCCAAGTTAAAGAGCCAAGTTATGAAGATACAAAATTCTCAATCTGCTTGCCTTGGTCAACATCACCTCTGCTTTCAGTATCAATAAACACGACACCACGTACTACTCATGACAATTTTAGTAAGATCTGAATGCAATTCCAGCATGCTACAATTGTATTTTCAGATGTATGGGTACCCTATATGCCACATTGCACACTGACTTATCATGGAATCATGGAATTACTTAAATCCCCTCTCATTCCCAGGAGCTCCAAAGTTCTACAAAATCCTAGCAGCCTTAGTAAATTTGCATATGAAAAAACATGCAACTTTACTGTCCTCTATTCTATCTGTCTAAAGATAAAAAAGGTAGTAGGTGTTCACCAAATATGTTACATTGCAGTGTAAGGCCAAAAGGACTCAGAAGTAAGTCTGCCTTTTCCACCTGAGTACCACAACTTTACAGCTTAATCTAGAATTCTAGAGCAATGTATATCCTTGAAAGGAAAAAAAAAAAGATCACAGAATCACAAAGTAGTTAAGGTTGGAAATGAGCTCTGGTCATAGAATGGCCTGGGTTGCAAAGGAGCACAATGCTCATCCAGTTCCAACTCCCTGCTATGTGCAGGGTCGCCAACCAGCAGCCCAGGCTGCCCAGAGCCACATCCAGCCTGGCCTGGGCCACTCAGAGCAGGGCTTTTAAAGAGCAGCTGGCTTTTAAAGACCTCCAAACAAGAAATCCCAGAACCTCTGGGCAGGCTGTGCTTGGTCACCTGCACAGCAAGTAGGCCCTTCCTGATATTTGTTAACAATATACGAGAATTAAAAAAAAAAAAAAATGCAAAGAGCAGTGAGCACTGTCAACTGGAAAGTCAACCAGCTCATATTTATAGCACGCAATAATAATAAACGTCTCATGATAAACTCTTCCAAATTATTTCCATTGACAGCCTTATCTTGATCCCATCAAAGACTAAATAATCTCATCTACTGCAAAGGGAAAGTTGGACTACTGAAAGTACTGTCTATCTTAAAACAAACAAACAACACAAAACCAAAATAAAACTGATATCCCACGCTATATGGGACTCTTCAGCAGGGTACTGAAGAATATGAAGATAAAACTGAACTGTCTGTATGCAAGGATATTAAGAAGAAGCAAGTACAGAACAAATATAGTGGAGTAGAATGGCAGAATATACAGTACAATTAAGAATAGTGCATTTCCTCCAAGTTGGATACTTGGAAGGCTATTCGATCCAGTTACTGTGGTTGTTTTTGTTTGCTTATATGGCATCACCTGAATGTTGCAGGCCACTCCAGTGATAGAGCTATTTCAGAAAAGCCCAGGTATCAGAATGAGCAATTCTATTTATTCAAACTAATGAAGTTTCTCTTTCAGTGAATCCTTATTGAACGCTGACATTTTGATGATTGTGCGTTCTGAGGTTTGTGTCAGTAACTAAAAAACGCAGCCTCCTGCAGGAGAAGCAAATTTGGTTTCTATTTTATTTTAGATTGAATCATTATTTGAAAAAGTTTTAAGGCAACAGTTAAATTTAAGTTACAAAAAAGGTCCCCTCTTTTCTTTTTAGGTGCAATGGCAATTTCTTTAAAAATAAGTTCCTTTCTTCTGTTACTTCATACAAAACACAACCCTCAACTTTCAGCTCTACACAAAACAGAGGAATCACTTCCAAGGGTACAGAAGCTGTGGGTGCTGCTGCTGCTTTTGTAAGACTGCATACAGTGAAAGAACACTAGCAAGCCAGTCAGTCAACACATGTCACAAATATTCAGCCAGAAGTGCTATTTTGAAGTTTGTCTTAAAATCTGCAAAAGCCATTCTGAATTCCATTGAGTGAAACCACCATCAGCATATGGATGTTGTGCCAAATAAAACTTGTCTGCTGAGCCCTTTGCTACAGCCTCCTTCAACATCAAATTATTATTCTATTTTTAAGGAAACAAGATCTGGAAGACTTAAAGTTCCCTTCGAAATCTCAGCTCTTACAAAACAGAATATAATTACTTATGTTATTATCTATAATTAGAAATGTATTATTCAAAGATTAGAGACTGTCAACGAAAGCATGTGGCTACTTACCTACAGTATACCAGCTAGCATCTGTTAACTTGCTGATAACAGCTTCTTGAAAGGATCCATCAGGCATTTTGGTTTCAACCATGGCACCAACCTGCAAAAAGGGGTATCCCAAGGTTACACATAATCCAGAACTCAAATGAAAGAGACAGAACTCACAAAAGCATTAATTCTTCTAGTAAGGCAGGATTTCATTTGGATAATGTTGAAGATTCATTTTAGCTAAATGTTACTTTGTGAAATGTAGTTGCATAGCTGGTAAGAACAAAGGTTCTTAAGATGAACTCTGGTTAGACAATAAAGCAGTAAGGATCTTGGGAAAACTAATTTCAGCATGGCTTATTCCGTAACAAGAAATAGTACAAGGCTCATTGGAAATAAGTATTCAATTATTCAAAGTAACTCTTATTTCACTGTTGATGTGTGTTACCAATGTTCCTTACACTTTAAAACACTTCTAACATTATTCTTTATTGTTGTACCATCAGCTAGATCAGACTCTAACACACAGCAGTGTTTGTGCAGGCACTACTAAAGATGATCTCTAAAAATTTGCAGTCAGTGTTCTATAATGCAGCTGTTTTAGCAGACAACTTTCAGCTCCTGTAAAAACACAAATCAACATGCATTTTTATATAAAATACATCAACTACTTTAAAAACACTTTCAGAACACTCATGTTTATTACTGTCTAACAGGTTTGAAATTACCCTCGTGGAATCAGGATCTCTGTTGCTTATAACAGGTTTCAAAAGCAGCATGTGCAGTTCTGTTGGCATATGAAGCATGCTACATGGAGAACACAAAGAGCCTCCAAAAACTACAAGAGTTAGGACTATTCAGAATCAACCCAACCAAAAGCAATGGGCCTCCTCCTGTTGATTTACTATGAGATACAGCAATAAAAGGCATGCAATATACATACTCTTAGAGGTCCTTTCACTTGATCATCTTGAACTAATTGAGTTGAGTTATCCCCCTTCAGGACCACCTGAAAGACATTCATAAACTTGTTCATGCATTCCTTATTTGTAATGGCATATAAAAAGTCTAAGAACAGAAGTAGCAAATGCAGAAAATCAACTTTTTCTCCATCACACACAGTCAAACATTACTGTGAATGCAAAACCCTCGGCGTGGATGGCCTTATTCACAGGAAGGCCCAAGCAGCACACTGAACACTCATCCTGAAACACTACAGTCAAAGAAGAGGGCAAATACAACAACAGGTGCTCCAATGAAAAGAACTGAAGCTTTCGATGCGAGTTTAGATACTGATGCACCCCAGGGTACACCTGGAACTGAGCTTAGAGATCAGATGATTCACGTGCTTTTTCTCTACTTTACCCACAGCACTTCGTTGACAACACACTGAGTAGTGAACTGCAATCAAAATACAATGCTCTGTGTATTAAAAACTTACTGAGGAATCATTGAACAGACCACACCACCACCGCTGCTACCATGAACAGGAGAAAGTTTCTATGGTAAAGATGCGAACCACTGAAAGCGTGATTAAAATAAGGATGGGTTGAAAAAGAGGAAGTAAAACAATTTTCCCTTTAAAATCCTGTGTTTGAGAGAGTAAGCATCATGACACAGAAGGAACAGAAGCCTGTGCAAGTTGAATCCCTGAGTTTGCACAGACTCAGCTCAGAAACATAGAAGATGAATATTTAGATGTTAGCACGCTAACTGTTTCACTGCCATTTTCATAGCAAAAAGACCCACCTGAGTACCCAGGATGTACTAACCAACAATTCCCAAATTCCTATCCTTTTTCAGGAATCAAAAACCCAAGGAATTTCCTTTCCACCAATAAGATGTCCAGTTTTTGTGCTCCCCTCTCTTTATCAGATAAGCACAATTTACACTGCAGCTGTATTTATAAAAGCCAGTAGCATGTTGAAATGCACCCTGCAGTAATATGAATTCATAATAACCTGGTTCAATTAGTTTTTATTTACAATTCTCTATCAGCATCGAGATGAATACAAGTCGTCCTGCTACTCAGGAAAAGCCTGATGGATCCTCTGGACTTAGGAGGCACACTGGGCTGTGCCCACACACTCTTCATTAAAATATCAGGCTTATTGCTACAACTTCAACTGTTCTTTTACAATTCAGACACAGCGACAGGAATTGTTACCAAGTCAGAGCAGCCTCGTGTACCTACAAGTCTTGATCATGGAGTAATAAAGCACACCGTTGGATAGAGAAAAAGAAGCACACATCTACAAACAGCCTTAATGCTCAGATACTCAGACCAAAGACAAGAAAAATGAAGGATGTCAATTCAGGAAGGGCAGCACGCTGCTTTCTAGGAAGCAACTCATTCACACAGATTTCAAAGAAGGGCACGAATTTCTAACAGTACTCACTAAGAACAGGAGAAAAGTCTGAAAGATCTGAATTGCTTGATTTTTTAAACCATGACAAGAACTCTGACAGAAGCGATGTGCTCCACCTATGTAACTGAAGAGGCTGACAGCTTGCTCTACTTGATCTAAGCATTAAAGCACATGAAAACTTAGATGTACAGCTATAAAAAGAAGCTTTCATCTCTATTTAGCAAGGTTTTGAGGGTCACTAATGCCTTATTTACATATCCTGGACAGTTATCTAGAAGTGGAAAGAACTTAAGGGAACAAACCAAGCTCTGTATTTACTTTGCATTCTTAACTCTTATTTAACTAGGTTTGACTCTTGTTTTCCCACATTAGCATGAACAATAGAACTGCAACAGTAAAATAATGACCTTCATTTTTGTTTGTTTTGGCATAAGACCTGTAAACAGAAATGAATATTAAGTGTCAGTACTACGCTTGCACAGGAACTTAGCTACAGTTTTGTATGCTGCTTTGAAAGCAGCAGCAAGATGCTGGAAACTAACAAATACTCTTCTGGACATCTCAAAAACCTGATCTAAAAAGGTTCTTTTGCAATTTTTTTTCTTTTTTGTTCTTACGTTGATTTATTATAGCACAGCCTCTCAAGTAAAACTGACTGTCAGTTGGAATGAAAGGGAATTTCTGCTTCTGAAGAGTTTGCTCTTATTACTCATGTAAAGCCATAAGCCTCTAGGAGAACCTTCAAAACTGACTGCTGTGAAACTGATGCATTCATAAACAGGAGACAACTGTGATCAGGAATTGAGCAGCATAGACAGGTAATGTTTAAGCCCAGTCCTGTTTCAGCATCCTCCTGAACACAGATATGGAAAAATAACAACATGAAAACGATAACCGCACAAACATTCAAATGCTCTTAAAGTCAAAAAGTAAAGCAATGAACATTCCCTAATCTTCAGGATTTTGATCTTCTCTGACAGCTCTTTCAACACAGTGCTTTAACAAAGCCAGCACAAACCACAGCATACTACCTTGACTTTCACAAGCCTTTTCACTGTCTTAATCTTTGCCTCGCAGAAGGCACCACGGTACTTGGCACTGACATCCGTTCCCACTGTCAGGTAGGCAGGCTCATCTGCTGCCTAGTGAGGAGCAAAAAAAAACAGGAACAAAGTTTAGTTTTTAGTTCTTTTTACAGCTACAGCATTGCACATTCGATTTTACATCTGAACTTCTTGATCATTACGTGACAAACAACGTCTGTATTCATAACTACCTTCAGACTGCTCTTTAAAAAAGTAAAGAAACGAGTTACAGGAAGTTTGGCTTCACATAGTGAGGTTGACCCCCGATTCTGTCAGCCTAATTGCTCTCCCAGTGTAAAGGACCAACCAAAAAACACCTTATTACTTTCCGTGGTATGCTCAGCATAGCTCTGGGGGTGCTGAGCTGATATTAAAGCACCTCATTATGGAAAAGGTAATAATAATCAATAAAAATGACAACTCAAAAGAATTAAAGAAGGGAAATCTTTCAACAGCAGAACTGCAGCATAAAAGATAACTGCGCTTTTTCCTGTTGAAACCAATTTGGTGAGGCAGATAATTTGAGGCTGCTACCATACCAATATCTACAATTACGTCTATACCATTCTATATATAGGAGTTTTTCTCCTGCCGACTAAAAGGAGACCTCTAGAGAGATTTACTCTCATCTCTGTGAGCAGTTGTTTTTCTTGAAATCCTTTATGAAAGCTGAACCGCCTCGTTAAGGGGAAGAACTATTTCTCCTCACCTTTTCCTTAATCTGGACTTTATTACTTCAAACCTCACTTTATTGGGCGTGTGTGAAGCGGTAAACAAGGCCAGAAGCAGCACGCCAAAACGTCCATCGAGACAGGAAATCAACGCACAGCATTAAGGAACTGCTTTGCTGCTGTTTAATTGAAGGCAAGAAAAGTTTCTCTCTCTTTTGTGCACTGCCCCGTCTTTGTACTGGCAAAAAAAAACCAAACAACCCAGCAGCAGCACAGGCGGGACAAAAGCTGTGGTTTTGCAAACTTGCAATAGCAGCTGCTGATGCAGGAAGCATTTAAAGGCAGCACTCCGAGGACAGCAACTCAGAGCGTTTCCAGACAACTGCAGCTGAAACAGCAGCGAAAAACGAAATTACCTCAAGGAAAGGAAAAGGAGAGAGAGAGAGAGTTCGTACCTTCATTTTTCCCGGTTACGTGAGGGATTCCAGCTCCGAGCCGTCTCCTCGCCGCACAGCCGGGCAGGGAAGCGCTGCAACACAAGAGCGGGATCGGCCGAGGGTCTGCGGCCGTCAGAGGGCGGCGGGCGGGAGCCTCCGCCCGTCCCGGGCCGCTCGGTGCGCGTCACGTCGCCATTGCTCCCGCTCCCGGCGGCGGCTGCGGGGCGGGGAGGGCCCCGAGGCGGCAACTCCTGACGGAGGGGCGGCGGGGCCCGGCCTGCCTCCCGCCTTCCCCGCCCCTCCCCGGCCCTCGCAACTTTCCGCGGCCCGCCGAGCCGCTCCTCCCCGCCCCCCTCGGCCGCCGGCGTTGGGGCTGAGGGGAGCGGGACGAGAAAACCGCCCCCCCCCCCCCCCCCCCACCACCATACCGCGCACCCGGGGCTGAGGGGAACGGGAGCGAGCGCCGAGCGGCTTGGAGGCGGAGTTCGGAGTCCCCGTTCCCGCTGCCCGCTTCGCGGTTGGGGGAAGGGAGAGGCGGCCGTCCCGCTCCGTTCAGCCCCAGGCCGTCCCTCGCGGGGCCGGGCGCTCCCCCGGGACGGCGGCGGAGTTGCTGCTGCCGAGCCGCCCTCGACCGTTTCCTACCTGGAAAGTCGCAGCGAAGTGGGCAGCGCCCGGCTCGGCGCCGCAGTCTCCCTCCGCGACGACGACAGCCCCGCGAGCGGCGGCGCTGAGCGCGGCCCCGCTCCGCCCCCTCCTCTCAGCCCGGACTCGCAGCGGATCGCCAGCGACGAGCCCAATAACAAGCTGTTGAGCAGAATCGGTCCTCCTCGAACTCTCATTGGCCCCCTCGTGACGCCCCGGGGGCTCTGCCCCGCCCGGATTGGGCGCCGCGGACGGCACCCCCATTGGTCCCCGAGAGCCAGGCGGAACCTATTGGACAGCCACGGACGCAGGTAGAGCCACGGAGACTTTTCATTGGCTTTTAGCTGGAGCGCCCGTCGATTGGCGGCGGTTGAAGTGAAGTCAGCGCTCCCGAGCCTCTGATTGGTGAGAGCTGGATCCGGATGTAGCTGTGAACGAGTCGATTGGCCAAGCTCGGGGGTCAGGAAGAGCAACGGCGCGACGCGATTGGCGCTAACCGTCTCTTAGAAACGCGAAGGGGCGGGGACGAGAGGAAGAGCGGAGAGGGGGCGCGGGCGGAGATGGCGTCCTGCGGCGGCGGCGGGCCGGGACGCGCGACGCGCATGCGCGGCGGTCAGCCTCCCGGCGCCATTTTGTGTGAGGCGCTTTCCCATTTTAGGCCGCGGCGGGGAGGCGGCGGGAGTGGTCGGCGCCTTTCCCGCGGGGTGGGCAGCGGCGGGGCTGAGCTCTGCACCCTCACTGAGGCGGCGAGCCTGGCGGCGGTGAGCTCTTTCCAGCGCTCCGAGGAGACGGCGCGACGCTTCGCCTTCACGGCCCTTCGAGTGATGGCGGTGACGGTCGCTCCCGCTCGGCCGCGATGGCGGAGCGCGCCCGGCCGGCCCCGGAAGTGAAGCGGTGACGGAGGGTCCCTCTGGCGGAGCTCGGCGGAACCGCTGGGGCCGGGAAGGCGCTGAGGCGTCAGGTAGGGAGTGCCGGGGATCGCTCGGTCTGTCAGCCCGCAGTGGGAGGCGGAGAGGCCCCGGCCCTGCTGTGGAGCTGCGCTGTTCGGCGGGCTCGGAGGCTCTCGTTGCTCGCAGGCAGCGCTGATGCTGTTGTGAAGCCATCTGGAGGCTTCAGCTGCAGTTTTGCTTCTTTTGTTTGTGTCTAAACCTTAATCTGTGTTCAAGCTCTGTGCGGCTTCCTCGTTTTTCCTCGAAGTAACGAGAACCTGATTTCAACAGCTCGTTATCAGCTACGAAATGTATTTTTCATTTGTTTATCTTTGCATTGAGAGGACCTGTGGATGTGGTTTTGAAGTTTTTGAAAGCAATAAGGAGCTACCTTGGTTTGTAAGTTAAACCTCGCTTCAAACCTGTGTTCTTTGTGATTAAATTTGATGTTTTAGGAAGTGCAAAGGGATTGCTGTAGGGATTTTATGGAGGTAATAGCATAGATAAGCAGTAGTAAAGCTAATGCATGCCAATAATGCTTACTGTTGATGATGGGACACTTCTAACATGTTTGGAAGTGAACACAGCTGTGGCATTCTGGCTTTTAGATCTCCTCTGTAAATAGGATGTGTATAATGTGTGTGTGTGTGTGTGTATATAAAGGCTTGGTGTGCTTGTTTGAATGCTGACGTAACTTCTGTGTTGTAGTTGATGCTGTGGATAAACTGAAGAAGAAATTGTTTAGAATACGTTGAAGTTAGTGAAGTAAGTTAGTAAAACTTAGAATCATAGAATCACAAGGTTGGAAAGGACCTACGAGATCAAGTTCAACGGTCCTCCCATTATCCTTGCTGCCACAAGCCACTAAACTATGTCTTGTAGCTCCTCTTCAGAACTTCAGAAAGCCTGTTTTGAATGTCAAGTTATGGTATCTCTGTGGGATGTAATAGTTGAATCGTTCTATGATTTTTGGAGGCACACTTTGCACCTCTGTGTAAAATAGAGTTCCACTCAATAAATAAGAGTTCCTGACAAAACTAATCAGTCTTGTTTCTGATTTCTAGCAGAAAAATTCTGTCCGTCTGGGTGTAGCTGTTCTTGGCACAGGAAGTTCTTGGCACATCACTCATCTAACTACTATGAGCAAAAGGATTACTTTGTTCTCTGCATAGTAAGTCAGCAGGAGTAGTGACTTGTTCTTTTAAGGCATTTAAAGTACCTAAGAATGTCAAGCTAAGCAGCACACCAAGTAGCGTAAACATTCACGTACGACTTGGGCATGACGTTTGCTGTAATGGAATGAAAAAGCTGTACTCTTGGCAAGCCAGGCACTACTTCTAATTTTGGTTTAAAATAACTTTTACGTGATCTTCAGAACTCAGGGTTGCACTCTGATGCTGAAACACTGCATGTCAGTGTTAAATTTTTCTGGGCATTAAATGTAGCTTGTCTGTATCGGATCCTTGCAGTTGTGCTTCTTCCTGCAGAATGTGATCTCCTACAGGGAAAAGTTTGTCACGAGTGGAGAAAATAAGCAGCAGAATTTCCTGTTGGGAGCTGCTCTGTCATGAGCTGCTTTGTCATCTTTCCAAAACTAACATTTCAGTTTGTCTCATAACTTATTACTGAATATTAAAAGTATGAAAAACTGCAATTCTTGGAGCTCTGTGTTACTTTGTCAGACTTCAGAAGTATAGGAGGCTTCATGTTTCTTTTATTTCCTGTTTCTAGTGTTTACTTCGGCCTCTTCAGGTATTCTTCCCCTTGCTGTTTATGTTCTGTCAGTAAATATGCATTATATTTCCAGTGGTGGCTGAACAAACATCTGCATGCAGAATCTGTCTGCATGAACTGCTGTTTCCATATAGATGAACGTCAGGTGTGTGCTTGCCATGGAACTTTACTATCTCACTCTTTGCAGTCTGCTCATAGCAGTGTGTCAGGTGGTTGTGAAGTCTTTAGTACTCCAGCATAAAGGGAAAAAACAACAAAACCCAAGAAATGTGGAGTTGGCAACAGAAAGTTTGGTCAGTAACAGCAAGATTATAAAAATGAAAGGTTGGTTAAACCTTCTTTCTTAGTCAGTGCTTTTACTGCTGACCTTTAGCAGTAAGTTCCTTCGTGTTTTTTTTATTTACATACAAATAGAGGTAGCTATAAAAAGTGTGTATCTAAAAACAAGCAAAAAAATATTCCTGTTTATTTCTCACTTTCCCCAGCACTGTCATCATATTCCAGTCTTTGTGTTCAGAAAAATGGATGCTGTTATTCAGACATAACTGCATGCTGCTTCTGGCACTTCCTGGAGCGTTGCTGGAGAAAGCGTAGTAACCCTTAAGAAACCTGAATTAGTGCATTTTATTCCCTGAATTTTACTAGTAGCTTTCTAAAGCAGGTATGGGTATGTTTTGCAGCAGTGTAGTAATGCATGGATATTTCATAGAGTCATAGAATGGCCTGGTTTGAAAAAGACCACAATGCTCATCCAGTTTCAATCCCCCTGCTATGTGCGGGGTCGCAGACCAGGCTGCCCAGAGCCACATCCTTATACTGAGGACAGCCAAGTTTTCTGTTAGCTCTGCACACGACAGTAGTGCTCACTCTGTTGTTGCTTCTTCCACTAACATGGCTGAAATGATAATGCATGCTTAGCTTGTCTGAGTAGCTCTTGGTGGAGCTTTTGGGAGACCTCCAGGGAGGAGCAGTCCCCCTCTTACTGAATAGATGACATCCAGTCCAGCTGCAGTTCCTAACTACAGTTCTGTGTGCTGTAAGACAGGAACTAGCAGTGCACCAACTGAACTGTTAGTAGCAGCCTCATGCGAGAGAAGTTTCAGTTCTCAGCTGATAGAACTGCTGCTCTCATCCTAGCCCGTGTTAGCCCAGGGGAGATGTTTGGGTATTTGCCATGCTATCTTTTAATTCCAGACATAAACATTCTCTCCTTTTTTTTTTTTTTTTTTTTTTTAAATTAAAGATTGATATGGTATTCTTATGGTTGGGCATAATGAGAGCTGTATTCAGAGACTATTTTTCCTGGTGTGGAATTTTCTGTTACGAGAGCAGCTGTGGATGGGTGCCCATTGCTCAAGTTGACCAAACATTGGATTTTAAAGCCAGTTTTTGCATTCTTTGTCGTGTTCTGTTAAAGCATCAGCATATAAGAGTTTGCCTAGCAAAGGGTCTAATTACAGATCAGTTTAATTTCCTGCATTATTTGTCATGACCACGCATTTCCTTTGATGACAACAGTGAGGCTGTTACAACCATACTAGGGAAGTGGGTGCAGATCTTCTGTCCTCAGTGTGCTGCTGGAAAGCAGCAGTGCAGCACTACTGTTATCCTGCAGGAAAGCTGTGATACAGCTCAGGTGTGCATGTACACTGAGTGGTTGCCTAATGCTGTTCCTATCTAAGGTGTTCACTGATGCCAATTGGAGAACTAAAATCAGTTGTTTCTTTTTTGAAAAAGCATCTTCACTTGTATTATTTTCTCAGTACTTGTGTTAGAAGATTCAGAGCAGTGGGTTTTCTACTGTCTTGTTTAAAACTAATGTTCTGAGTGATTTCTGGTGGGCATTTTCTAAAGTCCTTGCTTACGCTGCCTGTTGCTGGTGTCTGGAAGGCTTTTTTCCCTTGTAATACTTTCAGAAATAGTTATGTTTAAAAAAAGTATGGAAGGAAAAGTATAGAGATTAGAGCCATGTTTTCATATACACAGGCTTTTAAGACACTGATAACTGGCTTGCTCACATTGGATTTCAAGAAGGTGCATATTTCCCTATTTGTAGAGAAAGAAAACACTGTTCTAATGCTGATGCTGAGTCTTTGGACATGGGCTGCCCACCAGCACAGCTGTCACTTTCAAGCTTGTTGGTGCTGATAAGCTGTTAATTAAAATCATGGATTGCAGAGGTTGTAGGACAGCATCACCCAGCTGAACGTGGGCAGAGACGCAGCCTGCTGAAAGCAATGTGTGTGTCACTATTAGCATGCAGCCATGCATAAGGAAGCAAAACTACCTCTGCAAGCAAGGATGTTCAGCAAAAGAAAACTTGTGAGGACAGTAGTTATGTTCTTTCTTCTAGGGCTTTTGCTTGTCTAAATTAATTCAGTCACTTACAGTTAATTTTCAGCCTCAGCCAACAAGACTGCAGGTCATCAGTATTGATTATTTGTGAAGGCATTAATGCCCTCAGTCTTCTGATTTAAATGTTATTAGCTACAAACAGGTGCCGTTAGCAAGAATTTACAGCTTAGTTGGTGACTGCATCTGAACTCTTTCCTACATCTAAGCCTTCTTTTAAAACTTACTTTTTATTTCTGAGTTTTTTTTGCTGGCTGTTATTACAGGTAGTGAATTCCCTGCCTGCTTGGGAAGTCGCTGACCAGCTGGCACTGTGTTAGCACCTCTAAGCTGTCAATTAGTTGCAAGCCTGCACCACTCACAGGAGGTTTGTATTTTCAGGGCTGTGGGTTCTTTTTTTGTTTTTAATCCTGTCAGGAGCTGCAGTTCTTCTGTGTGGTGCACTGCTAGTACAGCTGCACTGCAAACAGAGCCACTGCTATAAGCTGTGTTCTGTTGATTTCCAGAACAAAATACACGTCTTCTTAGCAAGTTTTAACTATTCTGAATCTATGGAAGGCATCTTTTATTAGGGGGCAGCAGTTTCTTCCTTGCATGCAGCAAAATGGGGTGACAGACTGGTATGAGAGTATCGTTTCAACTCTCATTTGGCTGGGGAATGTAGCTGCTTGTTAAACTGACTTTCCTACTGGGAACACATGAAGCTCTGCTTTGATTTCACTTCCTGAGACAGTGTTTCAGATTTCTTCTATTCCTGAAACATATAGGAATGAATTTGGGGGGATAAAGAGCTTCTAAAAGTGGCACTGTTTGCAGAGTGTGGATATGCACGGAATGAGAGCTGACATGGTGCTCCTGTGTAAGCATGCTGTTGAAGTCATCCAGTGTTTGCTGAAACCTGTTAATGTGTCTCAGTCTTGCCCCAATTATCAAAAGCAGCAGATTCCTGCTTTTCTAAAAATCTTGCAGAAAGGACATGTTTTACTTTCAATTTTTTTTCTGGCTTTAATTTAGGAATTACTGTTTTGGTTTTTCTTTTTCTGTATGTGTGTTTGGGATGTAGTTGTTCCTGTGAATTTACTATAACTTAACCTACTGTTAGCAAAATCTGTTGTTGAAAGAGGAGTCTGAGTGATTTTTGGACTTGCAGCCTGTACGTGTCATGAAATGTGGTCTAATTTTATGCAGAAGTAAACCACCCCATGTTTTATCTAACCTTTTATTGGGCTTGTCTTACCACGTCAATTAAAATGGTATCTTTTGTGGGTAGTTCTTATACTACCTTTAGGAGAAACTTCAGAGGATTTAACTTTTCCCTGTATCTGATGACATGTGTTTGGACTACAAACTATGCAAGGCTGCTGTCTGCTTTATTCTGGTTGTCCATTTTTGGTTTGCACAGCAATCCTAAGAACCATTTTTAAACAACTGCTTCAGAGTCCTTTAATAGCGGTATGAAGATGAAAGAGCACTGCATCTGGAAATGAGAGACTGGCTTTGAGCTCAGTTGTAGATCCTGTGTTCTCCAATACTGTCTGTCTGGTAAATGCATGGCAGTAAGGCTCCACTCTTACCTCTTCTACAGCCTGTTCCCTGCAGCTCTGTGTCACTGGAAATAAGGGATGGCAAGCTCATCTAATAGGGAAAGGCAGAGGCAGTAAATGTCTCCAAATAGCTGTCAATTGTTAGGTAAAGGTAACTTCCTTACTGCACATAACTTGAAAAACTGGTGTGTAGAGTAAAAACTAGTCATCATCTTAGAGGTGTGCAACAGAAAGAGGAGGAGGGGAAGAGAATGATCTCTTTGCTGTGTTTGGTGGTGTTATGCACTCAAAATCCTATGTTTATCTTCAGTCCTGAAATTCTGGCTTATGGTTATCATTCAGTGATGTATCTTAAGCAGCTCAGTTTTCTGTACCTTTGCATTGCTAACAGTTAAGTGCTAAGGAAAAGCACTACCATGTGCAGTGCTATCAAAGCCCCTTCCTTAGAGATGACCAGGGCTGTGGGGCCAAATAGCATCTCACCTATTATTGGACCCATGTGGGCAGTGGAACATGCAGGGAAGGGGGGGGTTTAACCTTAGGCCATCATGCTATCTATGGTTATGAGAAGTGACAAATGACCCGATGCCTGGCATAGCTCAGGCCTGCTTGGAATTGTTTGAACTGCTTCCTTTCTGAGTCAGCACCAACTACAGATGAGTAGTATTTATTGTGAAGCTATCCTTGTGTTTATCTGTCATAACAGAAACTTGACACGTGGGTTTTTTCTGTGATATTCCAACAGCTCAATCTTAAAGTAATTTAATCAGTAGTAACAAAACTTGGAATGAAGATGTTATCCAAAATCTTGTGAAAACAGTGCAGTCCATGGAAATGGATTACTCTGATGCTGCAGTTTAAATGTGATTTGTTTTTTTGAACACTGCAATCACAGCTGCAAGTCCTAAAAGCAGTCATGGAGATAAATGTAAACTAGATATGGGAGTATGTATAA